AAACTGCCAAATCGTCCACGGAGGACAACTCACCGACTCATTCGAGGTAAAGACCGGTGTTAGGCAAGGTTGCTTACTCTCACCGTTTCTCTTTCTCCTGGTCATCGACTGGATCATGAAGACGTCAACGACTGGAGGAAAGCACGGGATACAGTGGACAGGCAGGATGCAACTTGACGATCTAGACTTCGCGGATGATCTGGCTCTTCTATCACAAACGCAACAACAAATGCAGGAGAAAACGACCAGTGTAGCAGCAGCCTCAGCCGCAGTAGGTCTCAATATAAACAAAGAGAAAAGCAAGACTCTTCGATACAACACAATATGCACCAATCAAATTACACTTGACGGAGAAGCTTTGGAGGATGTGGAAACCTTTACATATCTGGGCAGCATCATTGATGAACACGGTGGATCAGATGCAGATGTGAGGGCGAGGATCGGCAAAACAAGAGCAGCATACTTACAACTGAAAAACATCTGGAGCTCAAAACAATTGTCAACCAACACCAAGGTTAGAATTTTCAATGCAAATGTGAAGACAGTTCTACTGTATGGGGCGGAGACGTGGAGAAATACGAAAGCCATTATCCAGAAGATACAAGTGTTTATCAACAGCTGTCTACGCAAAATACTTCGGATCCGATGGCCAGACACTATCAGCAATAAGTTACTGTGGGAGAGAACAAACCAGATTCCAGCAGAGGAAGAAATCAGGAAGAAGCGCTGGAAGTGGATTGGGCACACCTTGAGGAAATCACCCAATTGCGTCACAAGACAAGCCCTCACATGGAATCCTGAAGGTCAACGGAGAAGAGGAAGACCAAAGAACACATTACGCCGAGAAATAGAGACAGACATGAGAAGAATGAACAAGAACTGGATAGAACTAGAAAAGGAAGACCAGGACAGAGTGGGTTGGAGAAAGCTGGTCGGCGGCCTATGCTCCATTGGGAGTAACAGGCGCAAGTAAGTAAGTAAGAATCGGCATTACATGACGAAACAGGAAGGAACCAGCAAAGCAAAAACATGTAGACGGTTTGAAAGATCTGAAATCATTTGCATAAATGATCTGAGAAAGTTTCTAATGCCAGATCATAAAGTTAATAGGCATGTTTTCAGTCCATACATCCTACATTTGTGTAAACTCTGTTTGACAAAACAAAATAGATGTTTTGACTCCATACTTTCATCGAGATTTAAACAATAATGATGATGCTACAGATCATAAATTAACTACAATTCAGACCAAAAGCTGTTTCGGGTGATAAATGACTGCTGAGGTTATTTTACACACTCTCGCTCTTCTCCAGTTAAAATCCATAACAAATGCTTGGGTAGAGAACGGTTCTTCATATTTTTATAGGTTCAAATGTGCATTATTAACTAAATAAATATTGTCAACCAGTTCCTCAGCTATTAAATGTTTGATTAAATGTTATATTCAAACTACTGGTTTTTACCACATTGTAATATAGGTCTAACGATTCAGTGTACATAAATTTCTCAACGTTGCGAATGGTAAACAAGCCCTTCCTTTAGTCACAAACTTTGGTTGTTAATCGAATGTAAGCATTATTGTGTACAGTTTTTCGTGGGTTGGTATTGTATATATAGCGAAAGTGTGAAGACTTTTATCCAGTTGTAATCAAAACTGCACCAGTATTTTTGTCTCAGTGAATGAAATTGCTATAATTGTGCAAAAATTGGCTACCGTATCATTGCCCGTTATCCACTTCTGATTTGCAGTTGATGACAGTTAATTACACTGTTTCATTCTCTATAAGGACGTCGATATTCTAAATTCGAGTTTTACAACCGGTAGTCTTTCTAAAGTAGATCTATTGAGAAATGTGCCCTATAAAAGGAAAGTGGAAAACCTTCATACAATGATATGAAGTTCTGCGACGGATATGTTAAGACGTGTAGAGAATGTTTCCATTTCTTAAAAAAACTAATATTATACTGAGTTCTTGTAATTTTCTTTCATAGATGATAAGGATGAAGGAATGGCTCTTTGGATGAGCAGGCCGAGTGGCTTTTAGTACATGTGGGTTAATAAGACATATGAAATATTTACCAAGAAAGAGATTATTATCAATAGACATTAGATTTTTTCTATAGTAGTTAGGACTGGTTCATCAATATTTAGACGTACTCTTGTAATTCTTAGGAAACACGAAGTTGAGTATAGCTTCTGACGTATGGCTGTAAACCAGCGAGCATTTTCGTCCTTTGAATATTTCTTGACTACTAGCTGATTCATTGTCCTCCTTATTCGTTTAGTGGTTGACGCAGAGAATTCATTACTTCATGAAAAGAACCAATGCTCTTAGGGACAAGGGTGTAATGAAAATAAATAAAGGTACTGAGCTTGCTACAAACTGTTATCAATCGTGCCGCCCTCTATCAAGTTCTTGATATATTTGTCTTTCCAAACTTTGACCTCAGCTTGTTGAAATTTATAGTTCTAATATTTTAATTTCTATCCACATTTTAGTTAAGTGTTTTGATCACGTGCAAATACGGAGAGAATCTTCTCACGTCTGTTCTTTCTTACGACTGGCCATTCACACTTCTGTAGAATCCACTGTTTCTCTTAAAGATGCCACGGGCATCCGGAGTTTGACAACGTCTTTACCAGTAACACGTTTTATGATCGAAATATGCCAACCCAGTTAAATCAGAAGTCGAAGGCGAAGAGGTTCAAAGATATATATTTCAGGCTATCGATATGTGGAAGGAACGTTTGGTCTAAGCTGACTAGTAGTTGAAGGGGACATGTAGCACGGCGTACCCATTCATGATCTGCTGCGGATGAGTGACCGAGCGCCTCAAGCTAGACGAGTCCACTAAAACTAGTACGGTCAGCATGAAATGTCGAAAGCTCATAGATCTTTTTGTTTTTGGGATTTATTTACCAATACACTCCTATAGTTTTCTGTTCTTCATAAATTGATTCTCATCCTTCAGATTGGTTGCAGTTATTACCAATACATTGTCTGCAAATTCTGAGTCCTGACTATTTCCTAAGTGTTGTTAAGCTTTTCAATAACTATTTTATTTTTGGTTTGTTTGACTTTGTCTTTACGTTGCTTTGGATATTGGACTGCCACCCTTTGCTTGATACTTTGTGGACTGATGACCTCTGTTTAGTGAGGTTGAGCTTGAAGCGTGTTTCCTGTTTGGTTTTGGGAACGTTTACCATTATTCACTGTCAAGTGCTCATATTTGGGGCAAAGTGAGTTGACCTATCCTTCTTCTGCTAAGCAAAATATTATTCCACGACTGATAAAAACATTTTTGCTCATCGTCATAATTGGGTTTGTTTGAATGTCTGTACCAGTTGTAAAATGTATTTTTAGGTATCATTACTTTTATTCGTACCTATACCTGTTCGTAAAGTACCTTTTCTTTAGATCTTGTGCACAATTTTGATCATTTGTGAAGTTGTTATAAGGAAATTATTGGCTATTACCGCCTTTCGAATCATCGGTCTTTGGAGAGTGTGACTGAAATTTTAACATAGAAACAGACACGTTGAAGCAATCCTCTATTCATATCTCACAGTAGCATTATTACTCATTTATACGAGCTTTAATTTCAGTACCATAATATGACAGTTGATTGAACGTGGACAAGTATTTTATAAGCACCGCTGTATTTTGAGAACAATAATCGTGTCAAGCAGCTGATGAGGACTTATTAGAAAAATTAATGATGATATTCAAAAAATAACTTTTTATTAAACAACAAGAATCATACAAAAATAAGTGGAGTGATGACTAATGTTAGTAATTACAGAATATATTCAATCCACGACTTTGATATTTTTTATCGAGATGGTTTACATAAACTTAAGTCCTTAGACCGTAAACTGACATTCAGAAGTGAATGCAAAACTCATCGGGTTTATAAGTGTGTCGCATTATTATTAATAATTGTAATAGTGGAATAGGCTTACGCCAAATGCGACAAAAATGCCTTCCAAGCAAACATTGCACTGGTAACTGTGAAGCGCATTTTCAGCCAGTTTAATGGAAGAACTCTCCACATAATCTTCAACAGTTTTATCCGGCCATATTTAGAGTACGGAAACATAGTGAAGATACGACTAGTTTTCTAGGTTTACAACTATAAACCAGTAACGCCTATATTCGAAGCTTTCCCAAACCAATCGAAATCAGAAGTCAGTGCGAAGAGATCGGAAAGATATATTTGATACGTTATCAATATATCGAGAAGCGTTTGCTCTGGTCTGGCTAGTGAACGTAGGAGCTGTGTCCCACGCTGGTTCGTAACGTGATCTGGTACGGATGCATGACCGAAAGCCTTCAGTTAAACAAGTCCACTTAAAACAATGTGGTCGGTATCCAATGTCGAACACTTAATGAGCTATTGATTTCGCGGAATTATTTACAGCTACAATAGCATTTCCTCCTCACTCTAAAAAGATAAGGACACTCTGGAGCGTATCCAATGGCAAGCCACGAAATCAGTTCGGGGACTCAAATTCAAACCTTATGAAGAGCTCCTCCAGTCACTTAACCTTTACCTATTAGAGTACAGGCGTCTAAGGGGTAACATTTTAATGACTTACAGCATCCTAAACACTTCTGGACATCCCCTTGAAGATCCACTTAAGTTTACTCCTAATACAGTCCTAAGGGGCAACATCCAGTAACTGGATACACAACACAGCAGTAGGGACTGTAGACACAACTTCTACTCCACAAGAGTAGCCAAATGCTGAAATTCGCTGCCAACTGAGCTAGTCCAAGCTACTTTGCAGGAGTCCTTTAAGAGGCAACTTGACCTATTCTTAAGGACTTAGGATAATATCTTACTATGATTTAGCAATTTCTTTTTCCTCTATTATCGTTAATGGACCTCGGTTCCTGCCTGGAGGTTTTGGTGATCCACTGTTACTGGACAAGGAAGCCCGTTAAGCGAATGCCATTTCCATTCCATCAACAACCATTTGAACCATTTGAACCCTTACTTAAGGTGCGGCTTATTTGAAGCTAGTTCGTTGTAGGCTAGGTAGAGACGGCCTTTGACCTAGAATTACTGAGTAATTATTCCAACCAATCCATTAATGGATTAGTTGGAACATGCTTTTTATTTGACAGTTGTAATTACTTGGAAGATAATTGAACCGAGAGTTTATGCTCACCTCATCCAGAGTTTTACTCCAGGGGTATTTCTTGTCAACTCGATCTAGTTGCACACTATATTGTTATTTGGGATATATATATTTATAACTGTTTATCACTGCCCTGAAAATATCGAACTATGTCAGCCAACAGTGTAGAACAAAGTTGTTGACTAAATGGTGTCTTTTTTATGCTCCTGAAGACTATATAGTCTTCAGGAGCATAAAAGACAGAAATATATTTCTGGAAATGATACATTTTTACAAATCCTATGTAATGACTTGAACGTCATAACTCAAATTGTTTCTGTTGCCTTGTAGTCTACGTATATTCGGGTTACTTTTTGGTTTCCGAAGCGTGGTCCTAATCTGCAGGTGTCTTTTGGGTGTTACCAAACTGACCTTGAGAAACAGTAGTCATTTATTAGGGTCACAATAGGGTTACGAAACAATGTGGCGAATTAAGATGAGTGGTTAGGGCTTGACTCTATCAGGTGTGAGTGTAGCCTCTTCAGTATTCAGTTTCAAGTTCAGTGCTCGATAATTATCTATATGTTTACTGGTCCCGGGGGTGCATGTAACACTTGAATTTCGTGCACACACTGGGAAGAGAATGTTTATATATGAAATTATGATAGCTCGATAATGCCCTGTATTGCCATAATATTCGAGTATAGCCGAAGGTATGAATTCTATTTCACACCCACATCACGGTGATAATGTCCAAACCTCATTAGTAAACTTACAGAATGCCTACAGAGAGTTTTGAGAACTTAAGATATTGGAGTCCAGCTTGTCTAACTTCACTGCGTCATTAAGACAGGAAAGTGCAGTTTTACCGTCAGTGTGCTTTTAGTTGTCCGTTTTATATTGATTTTGTACTTTATTATTCGTGTTCATATTTTTATATCACTTTTCCTGTTTAGTTTTCCCATGAAAATGTTCCTCTGGGTCATTCTCTAGCGCCTTGCATCAAGTACTCTTTAAGTTCTTAAGAAAATAACAGATATCAAAATGGTTATTAAGTAGATTCTTTGTACAGCACGTCTGGATCTGATTTACGTGTACAATCCAATTGAGGCAGTGGAGCTTTCTCATACAGACCGAATAAAATAATCAATCTCGCTGTTCTGCATGTGTATCGTTTTATGTAACAGCCCAAATCGCTTAATTTTCATAGTTGTCAGTATAGCGAATGAGCATCTTCACGTTAATATTTTTGTCAAATTGCAGATGGACTCTGTTTTCAACAAATTAAAAACAAAAGTATCAGGTGCCTTACCTGGCAATCCGTTAACTCGAGAGTATGATATTGAGAAGAAAATTGGTCAAACTGGTCTAGGTTCATTATGGAAATTGTATTCAGCTAGGAAACGTTCTACTCATCAAGTAAGTTTTATCTTCACCTTCGTCCCTTATCACAGGAAGCCACTATATGGATAATGGAGAAAAAATTGCTTGAGTCTTATCCAAAGTTACAACGCGAATCTATGGTTGAAGTACTTAAATACGGCGTGTCTACGTTGATGAGGATTAAGCATCCAAAAATAGTATCAGTTCTTCAACCTCTAGAGGAATCACGTGAAAGTCTTGCTTATGCAACAGAACCATTGTTTACTTCACTAAATAGTGTATTGGCAAGAGACTCATCAAAGGTTGGACAGTCAGATGAGTCTATGGATTTTTTTTTGTCAGATACTGAAATTAAGTATGGTTTAGTGCAGGTAAGTTAAAGTTCTTTTTACTATTTAGTGTCATATATGTTTTATACATCAATAAAGGTTAAACAAAGTTAACATAGATTTCCATGAACTTCATCAACAATTCGGTACCTACTTAAACTAGTCTTGAAATATCGGTTATGTCAATGAAATATAACTACCACTCAAGTATCGAAATTTTATTGAATAACAGCCAACCAGTGATCATCTTATTTTCAGAGTACTACGTTGGTTAGCATATAGTCTGGTTAGGAATGGTCAAATCCAATTTTTCTCAATATATACGGCTTATAATTGTTGGTCAAGGTTTGCGGAAAAGTAGGCCCTTTGGTGGGAGTCTGCGAGATAATTAAGGTTTATTAAGGTTAATGGTTAAGGAGTTTTCGGTTATGTTATTCAAAATAGGCCTCATGAGTAAAATTCCATTTATTATTTTATGTTTATGTAAATCATGATAACTTCGTTTATTTCTTTGACCTCTCTTCGTTGAGTCAATCGTTTTCTGTCACGTCACTCACCCACCTTTATAAGCTATGTTTTATTCTCGAAACTTAGCGCTACTACATTTAGGTCAGTTATTTACGCTAACATAACCAATAACACGGAACACTTGGTTCTGTACTCATATTCTAAAGATTTCTTGGCGGCCCCTGTTATAAAACTTACAGCACGTATGGGCGCTTTCACCACATTTCTTTTAGAGTACACAATTTTGTTATTTATGTGAAGTAGTGTATAAAAGGTTGTGAAGCGCTGACTCAGTGACTAAGGAGCTCAGTTTTCAACCACTAAGTTGCAGCTTCAAAACCCCTCCACTGAACCCGGTTTGAGCGCCGGGTAGTATCACTAGCCCTCACATTCTCAGTATGGCTCAATGCCAAGTGCACGAAGCTGTACTTGGTTGACATTTAATAATGATGATAGAAAATTGTCTTTAGGTCTTACTCATTGTATACTAATCAGCCTTATCTGCAACGTTAGGTGAGTTCAACTTCCTGACGTTCGAAGTGACCTCTTGTTATAACTGGTTTTGCTGATAAACGACCCAGCTACTCATATTGCTTAGTATTCTCATACAACGACACTCGACAAGACCCCAAAATCAGAACACGTTGAACAGGAACGAAATTGTATTCAAAATAACAATGGTAGGTGAGCAGCAATCAATGGTTAGGAAAACGTTCATATATTTATAGTATATGCATAAGAAGCTTCTAGATTTTTCTTCAATAATTTGCCAGGGCTGATTGGTTTAGAATTAGCCAATCAGCGTGCACCATCACGATCATACACATAACATGCCTCAATCCGGTTTATTTCCCGCTAACACCTCTTTCGGTACCTCACTGACTTTCGAAACTAATCATTCCACAGCTCAACTCATCCTTAGTAAAAAATCCCAGTTTCGTTGGTCGATTAATTTTAATCACCTAGGCATTGATCATCACCTTCCACCGGCTTCATACATACATTTCAGTTTTTCATTGTGTCAAAAATACTTCCATAACTTAATGATTTCTAGCCTATTCAACACTATATGAATGAATAGATGTTACAGTTCTGAAAGGATTCTATTGCATTTTTTCATTTTAAGCTTGCCGAGGCTTTGAATTTTTTACACTGTGATTGTCATCGTTTACATTTAAATTTGACTCCCGAATCAGTAGTAATCAATCGTTTTGGTATCTGGAAGCTTGGTGGGTTTGAATTTTCAAAAGTAGCGGACCAGAACGAAAAATCAGAACAATCTTTTGTTAAAATACCTGTTTGGCAGTCTAATTTAATGCCTACTTGTCAATTAAATCTTAATGCTAGTAGCCCTGAGGCGATCCTTCAGGTAAGCAATTCCTTTGGATTATGCTCACGAATTTTACATTTTGAATGAGGGGTTTTTAAGAGTTTGGTGTAACTCGAAGATGGCTTTTGGCATAAACTCAGTTTAAGCTGAAGCAAACCATTGAAAATCCGGGAGCAGTGGATATTTGTTTCGCCCTGTTTTTTTCCAAATCGTCAGAGTATAAAGACAATGATCTAAATACTTAAGATTTAGGTAGTTTAGACATTTAATACAATTGGTGTCTATGACACAAATCTAGTTGTAATGGCCAGAGAATTTAAGTGGGGACACTTTAAATTGCACCTGTTAGTTGCTCAAACTTACTTTTATGTTGTTACTATCATACTAATAGCAGTACTGAAATTTTCTCCGAGAATTCCCTACTTTCCTTTTAATTTTTTTCGTTCGCACCTAGTCCTTTCACCTTTCTCCCTCCACTAACTGTGTACTACCGTTGGTCCATCAACATTTATATTCCTTGGTCTTGTTTATTGTACAGTTTTCATTGCATACATAAATGCGAAGTGTTCATAATTCATGAAATCGCTAAGTATGTGTCATGGTGCACATATCCTTAAATTGTTCATTTCTGCCATAAATGGTGGTTATTATATGGAAAAAATATGTAAATACTTCCGAAAAAATTCATCGGAGAGATGAGTAGCTTATTAATAAACTTGTTGACCAACCTGACGCTTAAACAAACTTAATTATGAAATTTTAATTTCAGTAATTGTAGCCCGTTTGCTTTCTGGTTCTTCGATTTTCAATAACTAATTAGTATCAGTATTCATAATGAAAATAATTTCAAACCTATCGTAACTGTAAAATTTGAAAAAATATTGAAAGAAAACAGAATTTCTTAAGTGGTGGCGTTTAGAAGTGAGAAATTCTCGATTTTTAATCACTTTATCTCACGTTTAAGCCCCAATCCACCTCAGTCACTACACACAGCCGGACAGTTTGACCAGCTCTCATGCGCACACACAAAATGTTACTCAAGATTGGGTATATGAATCTTCGATTGATTGTTCATGTCAAGTTAAAACACAAAATAACAGGTAGAAAACTAATAAACCATACCAGTAGTTAAATATTCGAAAATTATAGCTACAAAATAGTGCTTACAAATTTAATATTGACATGTACACGTTACAGATTCATATATCCGAGTAGTATTGAGACAATGCATCATAAAACATAACTACAGATTTAGTTGTGACTTGGCAAACAATGAACAGTGTAGTCAAGGAAAAGGAATGAGTTTACAACCACAGTGTATTGGGAACGATGATCAATTGACTAAACATATTGGCACCAGGATAGCATCATTGCAATTCAAACAGACTATATGACGATTGGTGATGAATTAGATGAAATTTATATATATATATATATATATATATATATATATATATATATATATATAACTCAGCACATGTTGATGTACCAATCTTTAAGCCCTGATTTTTGTATGTGGAAGACCAGTTGCGCAAAATTTATGCTCAAAATAAAGTAGGTGAGATGTGATTAAGTTCTTATGCACAGAACAACATTCATCTAGTACCTTGTTAAAACTTCCACTATCATAAAAAATTCAAAGGGAAGTAGTTTTGGGTGATTTCGATTATTTCTTATTAGCACTGTTAAAAACAGTATGTTGATTAATTTGACCACAGGTTTCGAAAAATCTCTTGTCACTTTTAATTGAAATCGTGCTAAAACTTGCACCTATATTTGTGTTGAAATCAGCCCTTTGGTATGGTCGATGTACTGTACTTTACAGAAGCAAGTGATCCACAGAGACCATCGAATGAAAAAGCTTATCCTTCACGTACAAAAAATTATTTCTTGGTGTGTAGATATCAGAATAAATTAAGCTACTGAAAACATACCATCAATTTATCCAAGCAAACGATTGTTAAGTATGTCTGTCGCTTGATCACTTGAAGATATTCACCAACAGTCATTGCAGAAGCATACCCTATTATTATCAGCAGTTAAAATTACCCCTTTTACACTCGATAAAATGTATCCTCTAAATCATATACATGGATACAGAAACCAAAGGATACTTTATGAACATACGATAGAGTGTTATAAACAAATTGCTGATATGGCTCGGTACAAAGGAGGAGGCAAAAACTGCAGATGAAAATTTATTATACGCCAAAGAAGATCAAAATTATTCCTGAATACACTGATTTTTATGTTTCATTTATATTGATAAACAGTCAAATCTGAGTGATTTAAACTGACCAGCACTTCATATTAAATAATCAGTGACTTAACATACGAACGGAATTGATGGGATCATAAAGTTAAACTTCTATAACCAACAAATCTAACTAACTAGGTTATATGATTACTTCTTTTTAATATTTTCCAGCTTTTCGGTTGAGTTTTATGTACAAAGCTCTTCCATTACGAACGAACGTGATTTGTGATTGTTTATCTGCACAACGTAAGAGCCAGTTATTTTTAACCGGGGAGGAAATTTTAGAGTCTCAAATCAATAATTACACTGATTCGATATATATATATATATATATATATATATATATATATATATATATATGAATCACATACAATGTATATATATACTTTGCTTTACTCTTCCATGGGGAATTCTTTTTTATTCTTTGTTTGCCTTCATTAAACGGGTACATCGATTTCTTATTGATAAGGATTGGCAAATAGTGGTAGTTTGTTGTCAGTTATTAGTTTAGACTACTTTACGCTTGTTCTGTTAGATATCTAATGATCTCATTTTTGCATTGTTGATTTTTGGAGAGTAGTCTGTTTTGTACATATAAATTTAGATAACTTGATTGTTTGGCAACTGATAACTTTAAGAGTTTAGACAGGTCATACGAAATAACTGTTTTTCGTCTAAGTTTTAAAATACAGATTTTCCTATCTAAGACGTCATTGATCTACACCTAATAGGTCGGATTCGAAACCCTATTGACATAGGTTCTGCAGCGGTGGCTTAGTAATTTAAACACTTGGCTTTCAACCAATGCACCTCAAGCTCGAACCCCTCCCCGTGTATTTCAGTTTTGGCAACTGGGTGATATTGTTAGCCCCCATACAATTAGCGTGGCTCAAATCCAAGTTTATAGTTCTGTACTTAGTGTATGAGTGAAATCAGTGGTTGGTATTATCATCCCATAATAATTATATTGTGATTATCGAAATGGAGTATTTCATCCTGTTTACTTGAGGGGGATGTTTATCATCTAAAAACTTCTGTTAAACAGGTAACTAGACCGTCAAAGTCTTTCTGTTGGAAATTTTAGTTTTGTGACATATTCAAAAGTTACTACTGTCTAACAAAAAATAGCAATGCTTGTGTAAGAGATACTCGATTTTCAGGTTTCTACTCGTCTTTCAAGTATTTTTCTGGTTTTAGCCGTTCCAGTTTTTTACTGTTTTCAAGGCATATTAATGGTTCTTACGCTTCTATATTGACAGATCACGTTGAAAAATATACTTTTTATTTCGTTGACTCTTGAGCTTGTTTTCTGGGACAGAGTTTTTGACATCATTTTTAATGTCAACTTCAGTGCATTCACAGTGACTTTCTTCGTGAACTCACATAGTTGATAGCATCGAAGACTCTCTTTTATCAAGAACTTAAGCTCTTACAATAATATGCGACGTGATACCTTTTACTGATTGATTTTTAGAAACAATCCCATCCATACCTAATTTATTCTGTTGTAATTCACCTATCACTTTTTGAAGAATACCTATTCTTTATAACACCCAATGTATTTTTTTATATAATTAAAATTATTAGGGTGAAGTGACTTCTGCAAGTGATATGTTTTCACTCGGTCTTTTAATATGTGCACTATTCAATCATGGTAAATCCATTTTGGATGTTGGAGATGATTATCACGCTTACAAACGGACGGTTAAACAAGTAAGCAGTATGATTTTGTAAACTAGAATTTTGTTCATATTTAGGTTTTTTGTTTAAGTATTTCACAGCAAACCAAAAAGATCTAATGGAATACAAATAAATATATATATAAATATATATCCCAACGCACGGTTTCCTCGTCATTTTTATGAGATGTTAGCGGTAACTTTCTGGCTGTATCTTAACGAAAATGATAATCTGTAATCATTGATTGGTCGTTAGACGATGAATTGTCAAACATTTCACTCTTAGTAGATTAGGTAGATGATCTTTTATGAAACGTTGGTGATCTGGATAATAAATTCGTTGATACTTAAATTAAAATTAAGCATATAGTACCAAGCAGAAAAGGTAGATCGATTGATAATTATCAAATTAAATTACGATAGTTTCATATCTTATTTCATATATTCTACATGTACAAACATGTCCATAAGTCTGGAATTTTTCACTCTTCAAATTAATCAGTAGTTAGTTGGTAAATGCATGTCAATTGTATCTTATCTTTTATTGAGTAACACATAAACAGCTCCGTTACATATTATATATATATCAGTTGTTCTCTTCTTTGGTATACTCAGCTCAGTCCTACCTGCACCTTTTTCCATCAAAGTAATAATCTTTTCAGCTGTCCATATGATGCTATTCTGACTTACTGAATTTTTATTGATTTTCAATTGCCTTAAGACTTTCCATGTATATAAGACCTATTTCTTGACTTAATGTCTCGTGATTGTATCCACCGTTGTCACTAAGTAAACTAACGTCACTTCTAGGATTCAAGATTTCGTAAATCAATATGGCCATTAAGGTAATTACTGTCTCGATAATGCCCAATAATCACTCAACAACAATGGCTTTTTTTCTAAAAGTTTCCTTGGCTAATTTAACGCTTAATTGATACTATTCACTTCTATACATATTCAAAAATTAGCAAACTTCAGTCTAAGATGAATAAGATGTGTGAAAATTAATTTGGGGGTTAACTAATTCCATATTCTCATAGGATTCCTTAGAATTTTATCTACCATATTTTACACCACATAGTATCTTTATTCTAGTCTAATTTCACACTAGTTTTCATCACGAACCAACGTCAGTCGAAGAACCATTCATAAACAACTAACAGAGATCTGTTCTATGCTTTGTAGTCGATGTTTCAATAAGACATTTTTAGATAAATTCAAATTATTTTCACTTGCTGGCACCATCAAATCGATCGAGTCAATTAATGTAGATATTATTTTGTTCTATAATCTCTTTGTTGTCACGTTGCCATTGTTTTCATGCATTAAACCGCCATAGCATTTCTTTTTACGTGGTCGTTAGGTCATGAAAGCCCCGACTCTTCTAAATCCATCTCATAGGCAAAATACCTGGTCATGAGCTCATATTGTTATCACTATTATTTTTCAGATCTGTAACAATTAAAATACCGGACCATAACATACTACTATTCATGGGTTGCAGTGAGAGTACATTATTAAGACATTTCCGACACAAAACCGAATAACTAATTCATTGTTATCTAAATTTTACTTATGGTTAATACAAAAGACAAGTATAAGTAATTGGTTAAAAGGGAGCTTACAATTAATACTGTAACACAACTACTTTCAACAAACAGTCAAAAATATACATATTAATTTGTCAAAAATAAGCAACCCAACTTTCATACCTTTTTTTATATTCTTGTTCATTTTTCTAATAAGCTTCCATCATTATTATCCAGCAAAGGATTAGATTTACCAAATAATCTAAAAGAATATGTCAAAATGATGCTGTCATCAGATCCACAAATTCGACCAGATGCTGTACAATTTTTAAGAGTAAGTTTCATGTGAACTAATTCATTGTTCATATGTATTCCCTATTCATGAAATGATTCCTTCTCAAAAAAATCTTGTGATCAATTCATACATTTATCTGGAAGAAATATACAAAGACTTATTCAATGAATAATAATTAATATCTCTTCGTATAAGTTGAAGTACTGCCTAACAGTTGAGTCAAAATTGAACAAATGATGTATTGTATTTTCAGTATGAGGATTTGTGGAGGTTGTAGTATTTTCATAGTTGAATTCACGAGTTGATCTAAGTTAGATCACTATTAGAAACTTGAAAGTACTGGTTTTCAATCAATAGGATTCGACATATTTTGTTTACTAACAGATATTTTGCATTTCATTTGAACATAAATGGATCAATGTTTTATCATAAATTTCAATAACTATTTATTCCAAGATCCTACAGATATTTTAAATGAATTATTCTCATATTCACTTAGTATTGTTTGTTTGAATCTTCCCATTGATGTTTTTAGGACTGCAACTGATCAGTCTCTAATTGGCATATGTGCATACCGTGCGTATTGCCTCGGTATAGCCTAAATTCACAACCATGGTAAGTAAAGATGGATTGTGGCTAGTAGTAGAATCCAGGACAAGGCGCGTTTCGTCCTATTTGGGACTCGTCAGCTGGATGCACCTGCATCTCAGATTGATGTTCACTCTGAGACTCGAAACCAGTACTTTTCGCTTCAAACGCTGTCGCTTTATCTACTCGGCCACTGAGTCCTGAAAGCCACTTGCTTGTGCAATGGGGTGAAGTTAAAATTCACCTAGTATTGTTTGTTTAAACTTCATCCCATTGCACAAGCAAGTGGCTTTCAGGACTCAGTGGCCGAGTGGATAACACGATGGCGTTTGAAGAGAAAGGTACTGGGTTCGAGTCCAAGAGCGAACATCAACTCTGAGATACAGGTACATCCAGCTGACGAGTCCCAAATAGGACGAAATGCGCCTTGCCCTGGATTCCACTGCTAGCCACTATCCATCTTTGCTTACCATATTCTCATATTGTTTTTTTATTATTTTTCTCGTGTTTTATTATTTAAGTTATTGATTATTTGATGGTGCATAGAAATTTGTGAGAAAATCCATTTTTTCTTTATGTATATAATAACATTAATTCATGCATACTTATAAATGAAGTAAGTAGTTTAATATGCACTCCAAACAGTTCATCGATAGATTTCAATGAACCAACTAAAATTATATGAGCACGAGATGATTGTTCATCTTTTTTTATAACTTGGAATAAAAGCAAAGCGGTGGTTTAAGAATTAAAACAGGGTTTTGAACTGTTAGGTTTTGAAGGTTCGACCTCCTCTTTGTCTAATTCTGTTTAGGTTCATGACAGAAATCACTAAAACACACATAACGAATGTAGCTCAAAGTCGATTACATCACTATGTAATTGGTAAATGAGTTACTTCTTTTCTTCTTATATCCCCTCCAGTTATCTCATATAAAATAAAATAGTTTCTCAGCCAACTTTTAGCTTGGTACAACTACTTACAACTTTCAATATTATAATATACTTTTCTGGATTTTTCACACCTTTCACTTTCTAACGATATGTTCTTATGATGGTTGATATTTTTCATATCATATTAGTACAGTCATAGTAAGACATTGAAGTATTCTGAAATAACGTTGTGTATACAGTGGTACACAGCAGGTTTTTTGGTGAGATTAAAGTAACCGTTTTAGAAAATGTCAATTCTCAGCTATGGAAACTGAAAAATATCCCAAATAGATAAACCTAATTAACGTTTTTTCATAAATCAACTATTTATGTTATTTTATAATCTAATCGGTCAAATTCGCAAGTATTTTTCATTTTTGAATTGTGCTTAGAGGTCACTAATACTCTGTAGTTGGACTTAACAATATAAACAACCTTCGTAACTAAACTTGCCGTGGAATGAAATATCAATCATTTAATGACTTCTTGAATTATTTGTGGATTAGGCTTCATAGGGTGTTAGTTAGTTAGTTAAAGAACTCAATACTAAAAATATCCGGTGTTCAGGCTTAACATATTCAGGTACGGTCTATGTTGTTGACTGTGAAGTCTATGTAATACGCCTACAGCATGTATCATTCTATTGTTTTTTTAGAAATTTATTTATCCATTTATCTTCACCGAACCTCTCCAACTCAATGTGTGCTCTATAATGCTCATTTCTAATTTGTTGGTTGCATTTTAAAGACCAAAGCCTTTAAGCTACCTTCAAAGATACCGTAAACGTATCTATGCGCAATAGTTGTTTATTTCTTTCAATGAATTTCGGTTTCCAGTAAGTCTCCTGAGCTGTGCCTACTTTGTAGATTATCTAGGGACTGGGTGAAAAATACTATCTTATCCTTGTTTTGTTCAAGAAATGTTGGTTAAGAATGTTTCACCATAAAGTTAGGATGTATCAAAACGTCTGTTTGTATTGTTTATCAACGAGTTTCTTCGTCACACCCCATCACAATAAAATTCTTAGCCATATGTTCTTCCCCATTCTTATTTCATGTATAACGTTTTTTGCGGTATTTTTTAGACACCATATTTTGAAGACGCATCAATGTCAGTTCTACGAAGTGTGGATAATATGTATCAATTGGATAATTTATCTAGATCACAATTTTATAAATCTTTGCCAAATTCTATTCATGCTTTGCCAAAAGTGAGTCATTCTTATGAATAGGTGATAATTTTCTGCATATCGTTGAGCGCAACTTTTAAAATATAGTTACAATATGATTATAAAGTATATAGTTGTTATAATTGTATTTAGTTATATAAACGACCCAGCTATTCCTATTGCTTAGTATTCTTATGCAATGACACTCGACAAGACCCCACAATCAGAACACTTTGAACAGGAATTAAATTGTATTCAAAATAACAATCGTAAGCGAACAGCAATCACTAGTTTAAATAACGTTCATATATTTATAGTATATACATAAGGAGCTTCTAGATTTTTCTCCAATAATTTGCCCGGGCTGATCGGTTTGGAATTAGCCAATCAGCGCGCAGCAACACCATCATGCATGAAACATGCTTTAATCCAATCTATGTCCCGCTAACACCTCCCCCTTGAGCAGATTCGTAAGATCTGGTGCTAGGGTCCAACTGACACCTCATAAACCACATTCCCTTTCTTTCTCACAATCCGTCCAGCTGTCCACGTAGGATGTTTACCACGATAGTCCATAGCAAGTACTTTTTGACCCACCGTGAACAATCGTTTTTGTGTCCCATGATGACTATTGTACTGTTTCTCCATCATCACGTTTCGTTGCGGCTTAAGGGCTGGCGTCGGACGGATGACATCGAAATGTGTCCTTATTTTTCTGACAAGTAAGGCTTCCGCTGGAGAGACCCCATTTGTTGTTTGAGGGTTCGGTGTAGGACGGTAAATAAACAGGGACCTCTCTAAGATCTCGTCGGTGGTACTCTCCCCTCTTGATTTTTTTAGAGCATTTTTGAACGTACCAACAAAACGTTCTACCTGGCCATTCGATTGCGGATGGAATGGAGGTGTTCGGATGTGCTTGATTTTGTTCTGCTGACAAAATTCTGAAAAGATAGATGATGTAAACTGTGCCGTTGTCGCTGACTACTTGTTCTGGAACCCCGAAACTACTGAATAATTGCCGCAGTTTTCTAACTGTGCAGCTTGCTGTTGGATGTTCCATGATGAAAATTTCCGGCCACTTGCTGTATGCGTCCACTACCAGAAGGTAAGTTTGTCCATGAAATGGATCAGCGAAGTCTAAATGTATACGCTGCCACGGTGATTATGGTATCGGCCATGATTGCAACTCTGCTTTTCGTGGTGCTTTTGCTGCCAATGCACATTTTGTACACGAGCGGGATAGCTGCTCGAGTTATGTATCTAATTGTGGCCAGTATACATAACTTCGTGCTAGAGCTTTCATGCGGTTTATTCCGGGATGTCCTGCATGTAGCTGTTCGAGGACTGCCGGTTGCAAACTCTTTGGGATTATGACACGTTCAGCAAACATGAAACAATCGTCGATGATTGAAAGAAATAATCTGCGCTGATAAAACTGCTGAAGCTCTGTTGAACTGATCTTGGAGGGCCACCCTTCTAGGTGGAACTTTCTGACTTCTTGTAGAACAGGGTCTCGAAGAGTCTCTTTTCTGACTTCATCTGACGACACTGGAGTGTTTCGGATTGCCGCTGCTACTACACCGTATTTCTGGATCAACTGATATCGAGGCAATGATCATGTCCTCCGGTCCAGGATGTTGAACTCCAATAAGTCGTGAGAGGGCATCGGCTTGATTGATATTATTGGTTGACTGATACCTTATGTTAAAGTCGTAGCTCAAAAGCATTATTGCCCAGCGCTGTAGTCTGTTAGCTGTGTTAACAGGAATCCCTTTCTTGTAACCGAATATTGCAATCAGCGGTTTGTGGTCTGTCAACAGAGTGAACTTACGGCCGTAAAGCATTTTATGAAATCTTTTGACAGCAAAAATGATTGCCAGGGCTTCCTTTTCGATTTGACTGTAGTTGCGTTCGGCTGGGGTAAGTGATCTGGCAGCATGGGCGATTGTCTTCTCTGTTTTGTCTGGAAACACATGTGATATAACTGCTCCAACTCCGTGACTAGATGTATCAGATGCGACAACAATTTGCAAGCTGGGATCGAAGTGTGTCAAGAGAAGCTTTGAAGTGAACATTGACTTGACTTTGTCAAAGGATGCTTGACATTCTGCTGACCACTGCCAAGGTTTATCTTTCGATAGCAATTCATTCAGAGGGCCTCTCACTCGATGCATTTCAGACAAAAATGTACTGTAGTGACTAACTAATCCCAAGAATGACCTATATATATATATATATATATATATATATATATATATATATATATATATATATATATATATATATATATATTTGAACACAGGAATATTGATACAAAGGGGAACCGAATACATATGCACCACAAGTCACTTGATTTGTATGTGGGCTATAATACTTCCCGGTGTCCAGACCTAAGCAGGTTGTTTTTCTTAGGGTGCCACGCCTGGAGCCTGGAGGTCTAGTCCACAAGGCATCGTGAGGAGATGCAGTCCCATGGTAGCTGGTGACCAACAATAGGTTCATACGCCATTTGTTCCCTTAGGATCCTGGAGCCCATGTGTACCATTCGTTTGGAATCAGGGTTTTCTAACTCCCCTAGGTGGATTTTCCGTGTCCACTAACCCGGTTAAAGCGTCGGGCATTCGCTTTTCGTCCTCTCAGTTTCTTAAACAACAGTAATGTCATGAAAACGCAGTGAATAGGATTTCCTTGTTGGTGGTTGTATGCACATAGCCACTTGAGAGCGCTTCGAGAGCGAGAGCTGACTCTCCTTGCCTTCGGCCGTACCAGAGTATTTAGGAGCATGTTACACATGAAATTACAATTGTAGAACATTTTGTTTATCTATATAAATCAGTGCTTCAAATTATACGAAATGAACTCACTTCATCTGATCATGTTTAATGTTTATTCTTTTACAAAAGTTTATTAAAGGGAACTAATTGGATGAAATAAAATTTCTATGATTCTCATGTAATGACTTTACTTTATCCATGTTTCTTTTGCATATACATATCTTATTTTTTATTCTTAGCGTTTATGTCTATTTCGTGTTTTCCCGCAAATCTCTGAAGATTTTTCCAATCCACATATGGTACCATTCATTCTACCAGCTGTTTTACAAATTTTGGATTTAGTTACACAAGACGAGTTTATTCGATATATGCTACCACGTCTTATTCCTGTAATGTCAATGAAAGAACCTATACAAGTAAGTTCGAATTTCAACTGAATGTAAAGTGAATCGGAAAGTCAAATGACTTTGAACAACAATAATCTCTTGATAGATATAGGTAATAATGAATTTTTAAACTTACTTTACTATACAGGTTCATGTGAATTTGTTAAGTGCACTCTACTGCACCAATTATGTTACCTTGAGATGAGAAGAATTGTCTTTGGTTCCCCATGTTTGACCATTGTATTATTACATTATAACATAACTCTGGTGTCTCCTCATTTGCGGATAAATATTTCGCCTTTTACTAAAGATTTCTGTGGTGAGGCACAATACAATGAGTTTTTTCTATCTCCGTCTTTGCACGGAGTATATATTATGCCCCCGAATGCCCTGGCACGGCCGAGAATGGGGAGAGTCCGCTCTCCCCTTCGAAATGCTCTCACACGGCCACGTTTATATATCGTCTGCCAGGGAAGTCCTACTCACTGCCTTCTCGTGGCACTACTGTTGTTTACGAAATTGAGAGGACGAAAAGCGAATGCCCGACGCTTTAACCAGGTTGGTGGACACGGCTTCATGATCCTAAGGGAACAAATGGCGTATGAACCTATTGTCGGTCACCGGCTACCATGGGACTACATCTCCTGACGTTTTTCCACTGCATTGTGGACTAGAACTTTAGGTCAAAGGCTCCAGGCGTGGCACCCTAAGAAAACCACCTGCTTCAGTTTGGGCACCTGGGCAGTGTCATAGCCCTCACATAAATCAAATGAGATTTGTGTAGCGCATATATATCGGGTGCCCCTTGTACCAATATTTATGTGTTTAAATAAACAAGTTATAACATGAAATCAAACAGAAGAAACCTTAAAACAGCAATGTTTTTACCTGAAGTCGGACAATTATGTTCTCAAGGTCACAAAAATATAATACTTTTAGTACAAATAGATTTGTAGCAGTAGTTGTAATTAAAAATTAACGACCATCACTTACTGTTGCTTTCACCGCTTTCAAGTTCTTCAACTGTACAGCAGGCGTCTAAAAATGTTTTAAAACTAATCAACATTTGTTGTTGATCAACAATTTAGTGAAATCAAACGTCAATACATGGGAAAGATGTTCCAAAACAGATCAGTCACTCAGATATAATCAACGTTCAACCGGGTATACGTACTCATTAGTTGAAGTCGCCACATAACATCAACAGTGAGACGAAATTTCCAAGACCTACCAGAGTAGTGAAAGTGATAACATTTCCAATATTGCTGGAAATGACTAAGCATAAATAATGAGTTGATAGTACAGAGGCTTGATCATAGCGTGTTTCAGACAACCTAGCTTTGCGACACGCTGATTAGATCATTTTCAAGCAATCAGCTGCAATGGAGGAGCCGAGAAGACTCGAAAATATTCCTATGGAAAGCTTAACTATACATTGACGTTTTCATACTACACTAATGTAACTGAACTTGCTGTTTGCTGTGGAATATATTTACGCTTCTGTTCTAGTCTTGTTGCGATTTGGGGAGCAGTCGAGTGAGGTAAAATGTCCGAGAATACTAGGAAGTAGAAGAATACTAAACTGAAGGGGATTTAGCGTGATATGATTCGTGAAGAAAAAATGAATTTGAGAAATAAAAAAGATAGGTATTATTAGATATAATGAGTTAATTAGTGCCCAAACAGATTATTATATAACATGCTTCCATATTTAAATGCCAACTAAAACCTTCCAGTAAAAATTTATCCAAGCATCTAAAATATGAAATAGGATAAAATGCGGACAATTCAACATAGTCGAAACTTTATTAGTTACAGGTGGATAAAAATGCTTTGGAAAAAATGTATGGCAGATAGTTTGACTACTGATAAGTACTATAATCTAATATCATATTATATACATTGAAGGTATATTTGCTCAAGAAAAACTTCCTATATTGATAAAGAGGTGTTTTCTGTAGAATAAATTTGTTTTTACATGGTGTTCGTTACAGACTGATCCCATTTAGGGTATCATCAAAAATAATAAAACACCAAACAACCATTTCACCTAAGTATGGGATTCCTGAGGAGTGTGGACTCGGTGTTTAGTTCTCGACAATTGCGTAACCATTGAAACTACATTCAGTAGTACACATTTATAAATTCAATTTTACTCACTTTGAAAAATAATGATGGTTTTTGCTTTAGTTTCCTGTAATTTTATTTTACTTAAATATTTGTTTATTGTACGCTTTTTAACTGAAGCTAATAAAATTCATATTTCTTCAAACTGCTATCGAGAATTTATTTATTTATTTATTTGAACACATAAATATTGGTACAAGGAAGCACCAGATACATATGCGCCGCACAAATCTCATTTGATTCGTGTGAGGGCTGGGATACTGCCCAGGTGCCCAAACTGAAGCAGGTGGTTTACTTAGGGTGCCACACCTGGAGCCTTTGACCTAAAGGTCTGATCCACAAAACAGTGGAGCATCGTGAGGAGATGCAGTCCCATGGTAGCTGGTGACCAACAATAGGTTCATACGCCATTTGTTCCCTTAGGATCCTGGAGCCCATGTGTACCATTCGTTTGGAATCAGGGTTTTCTAACTCCCCTAGTTGGATTTTCCGTGTTCACCAACCGGGTTAAAGCGCCGGGCTATCGAGAACCTGATATTCAACTGATTTAAGTAACTTTCAGACCCAAATACTTGTCTTTCTTCTTTGTTTATTTCTTTATTTCTTTTACATAAACCTTTTTCGATTTCAGATTATCTTAATATTTTTACAAAATTTACACATATTAAGTGAAAAATTCCCAATCAAAGAGTTTCGTAATTATGTTCTACCAATGTTACAGTTAGCTTTGGATATTGACAATAAAATGATACAGGTTAGTTCATCTTGATTTATTCCCTTCTATATACTCCATTTACTATTATCATACAGTTATGATCTATCAGGTAATATGAATCTTCTTAATAGAGAATAAGCGCCGACGATGTCAAGACTGAAGCTTCATAATCAAACCATTTCTATTAGGGAAAATTACACTAATAACATATAAATCATTTTCCATCGGACCTATTAGAGCTGTATTAAACTATGCTAACTTTTTGATGGTGAATGAATTATTCTGTAAGTCTTTACTCTTCTTTCCAGTCTTGATCAAGATTTCACACTCAACTGTGAAAGATTGCATTGGTTTTATTATGCCTGGCAAGATTCACTACTTATGTTTACTAATGTTAATATAATCAACAGTGGGATGTAAATAATCTATGGATTATTCTTCTATACGTACCACGGGTAGTCAGTGTGTTCATGTCAATAGGATTTGATTAACTGATTCTTTCCAAATATCATTCAACGGTCCAAACTCTAGACCCTGCTTTTCTGAATCACTTTATTTGGGCTATTGAAGCATATCACTAGTATTATTTGATGATCGAAGTTAAAAAATTAAACTAGCTTTGTGATTTAGTATCTGAATAGTATTTTGCTGTTCACAAGATCTAGTATCGAAAATGAGTACAGTCTTGGGTGAACTTTCGTGAGGAGTCTCACGATTAAATAGAACTGTTCAATATACTTTAATTTCCAGCACATGGCGTTTTGGGATGAAAACGACCTTGAAAACTTCACCAAACCGAGTCAAAATATCTCTGTTAATACGAGTACGTTATACGCCTATTAGTCCAGGGACTTTTGTTTAGCCTATAGCATGCTTCACCCGACAACAAATGACCGTGACTGACCGCAAAATTATTATTCCAACTGTTTCAGAACGCAGCTTCCGTTTAACCTAGCAGCCAATCAGAAGTTAGACACAGCATGCCGAAAAACCAATTATTATGACCTAAGCACTCATTGAGTTATATACACTCAATACGTGAGCAAAACACACCTCAAATAACGTCATAGTCTATATACAAATAAGTCAAAAGTAACACAAGAATAAGCAGTGGGTCCGTACTTAATTAATGACAATTTTTGAATGTTACAACGTATATCGTCTGTTAACTCATTAAATAAAAGCACATAAATAGGACAATATGGAAATATCATGAATAGATTACTTAACAATTACATGGTAAAATAGGGGTAATAACTTACCATATAACTTACCATCATAACTTACTTACATTTCTCTGTTCCAAAATCATCGTTTTTTCGAAGTATTGTTGGCAGTATTGTCCATGTGGGTTTATTCTTATTTGGTTAGGCTTTCTTTAAACTCCTAACTCCATTAACATGATATTAAATTTTTTTCGGGGTTTCTAGTCGGTTAACATATCCAGGGGACTGACAGGTTTTTACCCCATTCTGCCACTAGCTTTTGTCTCGGAAGTCAACACGCCACATCCATCAGTCAGTCAGAGAGAACTTAGAACCTGGCTTATGTGTGCATCGGTTCAAGTTGTCATAGCCCGTTAGCATAGCGAGGTCAGATTCTGAGAATCTTAGGGTAGTAGACGTAGTAACGGTATTGGTAGTAGTAGGAAAGATCAGTGTCGAAGATACGGTTCGAGGAGATATAAATTAGTGAAATGATTTAAAAAATTATGAAGGATTTAAAAATTCGGGATGTAAGGGGAGACAAGCTGTTGATGCACTTGGATCATTGCGAACAATTTTGAGCCGTGTCATTCAAGTTTCTAACCATTGATTACAACAATTATGCAGACGGGAACTAGTATGTCTACACCTGTTAATATGTCTGAGTCCAATAGTCATTTTCTTGATGGACTAATGCAATGTTCTTGTTTGGCTGTCCCTAGGTTTCTCCCAACGTACCCATTCGCTGAACGACATCACTGGTCAAAATAGACGGTGGGTGGGAGTATGTGACACATGTCCCAGTCACTTAAGTTGGTGAATACTTATCACTTCACTAACCAGTTTGTCATCTTTACCTATTATTCTAAGCCTAACATCAATACTGCTCACTCGTTGGTTTCAAAATACACGAGGAATGGCTCGAAGACACATGATGGAATACTAGTAACCTAGGAACATCCTCTATTTTTAAAAGGCATGTTTCACATCCATGAAGTCGAGCAGGGCGGATTGCTGCATAGCATATTAGTCACACTAGGCTTTCTGGATTCGTTTTGTGTCTATATCAGATGCCAACACATCAGTGCTGATGAAACTTTTGAGGTATGTATAAAGGTTGATGCACTCAAATAAGTCGCTCCCGATCATTTGTCCAGGCGCTGACAAAGACCAATTCTGAGGCAACATTTTGCATTTAAAAGAGACGAAACACACCGCAAACACGCTCGCATTGTGTATGTCGGTCAGAAGGCTGCATTTCTCCAGTGCTTTCACCAAACAGCACTATGTCACCTGTGTATCCCTAAGTCAGCAAGTTAATCTCCCCGTTTGAAGATCGACTCCTGAAAAGTCAAGCGATAAGTATCATTTCTAAAATAATACCTGACAAAGTGACGGGAGCGGACGACCTTATAGACGTCACTTGAAGTCGACAGTTCTGATAGCAGTTCACCATAAGCTGTGACTCGACTAATATTTTCTGACTAGAGAGCTTGAACAAATTCTATGTACTTCTTTGGTAGACCTTTCAGTGATAGACAGTGCTTCAAAATATCTTGACCGACAGAGTCAAATGCTACCTCAAGATCAAGGATTCAAACCACAGTTAGGCATCGGTATGTTTTTGCCCTAACACGTGACAAGGAGTGGATATCTGGTTTACATATTCACATCCAGGTGTGTAACCAACCTGGTTTTTTCGAGTTTGTTCTTCAAAACCCCTAGTTAAGCATTAGATGATTATCGTGGGTAGTATTTTAGACATTATTTTAGTAAAACTGACTTTTCTGTGAATATTACAAGAAGATTTGATGCCTTTGTTGTCTTGTCGTCATCCTATTCTAGGAATTGTGTCTTAAATCTTTACCAACTATTGGGAAAGCAATGGATTTGACTGTATTAAGAAATTCTCTCATTCCACGAATACAACGTTTATGTTTATCCACAGAATATTTATCTGTAAGTGTTATAAAATTTTATTGTGACTTATTATCATTATCATCGTTAACATTGTGTAAATTACATACTTTTATGATTTTTGTGGTCGACTTGTAACTAACCAATTCAGATAGATTACATTCGTTGATAATTGTAAGTAATTTATTATTATCAGAAGGGGTCCTTGTGGAGTTTTAATATTTTCATAGTTGCTAGCGTGAGTCAATTGAATCTCGCGAGGCGAGGTCGTGGATACGCACCGCTGAGGTGTCCCACAATAGGACGATACGACCGTTCAGTGCTTCCAGTAATTTATTATAAATTTCTTCAAATAATTTTTCTACCGATGTGGCTACAATGTTTGCTGTGTTAATTTGATATACCAGTTTTATGCTTGTCGTCATCAATATTGTTGATATATTGTTGTTTAAATTAAAAACGTTAACTGGAAGTGATTTAGTAATCCGATCTGTTCAGCTAGTTGGTGTGTTTGAATTCCTCCGAAAAAAACTAAAGGTTGAATTAGAAGAGTGAAATTGTATGAATTCGAATTTACGGATGAGGCTTAATCCGTTCTGATAGCAACTGTACTCGAAATCTAAACCAGTTATAATTTGTTTGTTTTCTATCTATTCAGAGGAATCCTCCATTTCAACCATCTTCTTATAAGTAATATGCTAAGTTATGGACACTTGTGATACATAGGTATCGTCTTATAAACTTATTTTATGAAACTCTTGATGAATGCGTATCTGAATAATGTTGAAGTGATTTTTAAAAACTTATTTTTACATAACAGTATATCGCTATGATCAAATCTAAGTTACAGTCGATATAGCTTTCTTGAAACATACTTTACCTAAATCCAACCATCGTGTCAAGGTAGCATCCATGATCGCGATCTGACTTTCAAATTTTACAGAAAATTTCTAATCCTGAAAAAATAAGACGGTAACAGAAAGCTTTCTTGTAATAAATATATTTTATCAAAGGTCTCCAGACATCTGAAGAATTTGAACTTCCTTACCGTTTTGCCAGAATATTGTTTAATGTATGGCGGCCTGCTGCAACATTCGGGCTATCTGTTCCTGTCATCTAGATATTTCAACAACTTATCAATTTTTTTTAAATTTAATACATCATTATGGCTATTAACCGCATAACCTATTCAGATGAGTTGCTGAAAAGTGTACAACCTTTCGTTGCATAAATTACAAAAGTCCAACCAGAGATATCGTGGTTGCTGGCAATATGCAGAGAAAAGAATTTACATTATTCAGATGTCGATTTATTGGACTGCTAACTTCTGATTGGCGATCACTCAATAAGAAACGGAAAGTTGTTGAAATACTTTGTGCTGAGAATTCTATATTGTACTAAAAATATAATATTGAATAGAGCTAATATTAACAATAATAATAATAACGCTACCAAAGATTATCTCAGTTATAATCAATATATGGTCTAGCATATATGTGCAATAGTTGAAGTTGCCACACCACATCAACAAATCTAGATGAAATTAGCCAGACAATAACTAGAGTAGTAATAGCAGTAGCAATAGTAACAGCATTATTGGTAGTAGAAAAGATTAAGCCTATACAATACCATTCGAATGAGAAGAACGTATTTGCGGAATAAAAAGTACATGATAAGTTTAAAACTCATGGTCCAAGGAAAAATACCGAATGAATGATTCTGCACCATTGGAATCGATTCTGAGTTACGTCGCTCAATTTCTTGAAGCATGAGTAACGAAGATTGCGTGGATCCCAATCTAAAGTAGGCAGTCAACACCTACATATATGACTTAGTTCAATAGTTAATGAGTTCACAGACTGACGCCGTGTCTTATATTGACACTCCTAGCTTTCTCCTAACCTCCTCCTGCACCAGACAACAGTGCATGCGAGGTAGGTGGTGGTCGGACATACATAATACATGTCCCAACCACTTCAGTCGATAAAGATTCACCAACTCATCAATCGATTCATCATCTTTGCCCAGTACCCTGTGTTTAAACTCAACATGCGCTCTCAGTGGTCCCAATATATGCGAGCTATATTTCGAAGGGATCTGTAGCCAAATATTAGTTACCTACGTATATCTTGTATTTTAAAGGGTACTATTCAAAGCCATAAATTAAAACAGAACGAACTACGGCTCAGTACTGACGTTCGTCTGTTGATAAACAGAAATCTCTCCTACGCCACTGGTGACAAGTTGGCACTGTTCGTATGCCGTCTAAATATAAAGCAGTCACTAACGCTACTAACCAATTTGTTCTGAAAATACTAGTCAGGTCTTATGATGATTTTAATTAATGAAGTCCATGTAAAACATTTCACATGTCTCATAATGTGAAACTTGCAAAATAAAAGCTGTGAAAGTCGGTGATTAGTTACTCAGATAGTGTTAAAACCATATATAAAATAAACCTATCATCGTCTCAATTCACAATGTTTCATTTAACTGTCTCACTGATATGTAAAAGTGATTCACTGACCAATGGCAGAGTTATTTGTGAACATGTAGCAACTGAATAACCTACTTAATAAGTTTTTCGTTTGATATCAAACATTCGGACCATTATTTTGATTGGTCATTCAACTGCACGCTAGGGTTAAATACTCCACTTTATATGTAAACAATTGTGTGTATTTTGTTATATTATTTTAAGTAACTTCAAACATTACACACCTTTGGATGTATAGATACGTATATTCTATGTAAAATATGAATCAAATGAACAAGTATTAAATTCTGTTGAACTAGATAAAATTCACCAGATTCATAGTGAAACTTGATGTCACTCCAATCGATTGTTGTAGGCCAATAAATGGCGTTACGTTCTCTCGTTTTCTCTCTGACCATTCTGTTTCCTTAGTGATAATACACTGAATCAAATTGTATTTGTTGTTGAAATACAGTCAACAGCAAATTTCCTAGGTAACATAGTCTTCAAAAATATATATGTTAGGTGGTTGAAGGTAGTCATCAGCAATCGCAAGACAAGTTTCTTGCTAGTTCACACTTGTCAGCAAGGTGTACTTGAAATGTGGAGTGAACTGAAATTGGAATAGCTTAGTAGTGAGGTTTCAAATTGTGAATCTGAGTAGTGGAAGTTTGAACCTGATATGGCGTATCAGTTACATCACGATAACAGGTGCGCCTGACTGACAAGCGTCATTTAGCACGAAAACCAGGTTCAAGGTTTCATACTGACAAAAAGAGTTTGGGTGATACTGAGTCACTTAAACTGGAGACTACGTTGCAACTCAATCTATGGAATTCGATCAGCACTAAACGACTGGACAAGCATGACATTGGCCACTATTCAGTAATAAATCATTTATATATAATGCGTAGTTAATATTTTAAATCAAATGAATTTTAACGAATTAAGTAAACATTCGTGTACCTCACTTCAAACCACACTTTTTTGTGTGTGAGATACCCTTACTGAGTGCAGTAGGCCAAAATAGTTTAGAGAGATTTTAAGCTACAACCCAATTACTTGCATACCCGGTTGTTTCAAATACTACGCCCCGGTTCTGCAATCGAGTATCCCGTGTTTAATTTTTCTGTCTTCTGAATGTGGATTTTATTGTGCTCCTACCTATCGATATCATAGTTTTATTCCCTCCATTTCTCTTTCTGATACATCTGTGATGAAACTAACCACTCTTATCAATATAAGTTAATTAACAGATTGATTCTAAAGCGATGACTACTGTCAATTTCTTTACTATGAATTATTTCCTAATGAATCTACTACGTTAAAACATTATAAATACTAGATATTATTATCATTAACTCTATTCAGTATTATATTTTTAGTACAATATAGAATTCTCAGCACAAAGTATTTCAACAACTTTCCGTTTCTTACTTTTTGGTCGATCCTGACGATAAATAGTGAGTGATCACCAGTTAGAAGTTAACAGTTCAATAAATCGACATCTAAACAATGTACATTCTTTTCTCTGCATATTACCAGCAACCACAATATCTCTGATTGGGCATATTGTAACTTGCACAACGAAAGGTTGTACACTTTTCAGCAACTCACCTGAATAGGTTATACGGTTAATAGCCATAATGATGTATTAAAATAAACAAGATTAGATAAGTTGTTGAAATATCTAGACGACAGGAACAGATAGCCCAGATGTTTAAACAGACCGCCAATAATGTCTGTATGTAGTTAAATAAAACATTGATGTGTTTCATGTCACACTTATTCATTTTTTCTATTATATTTGAGTTAATTTTGTTAGACGTTGAAACATGTGAAAAGCAGAACCAAGGAAACATTGTTATGTGTCCATATAAAGACTAATTAATTAGTACCACTTTCCTTAATTATTCAACATTCTATATGGTTTTTTTCCTAAATATTACTTACGCCCGTTACCTCCATTAGAGCATAGGCTGCCGACCAGCATTCTCCAACCCACTCTATCCTTGGCCTTCCTTTCTAGTTCTATCTAATTGTTGTTCATTCTTCTCATGTCTGTCTCCATTTCTCGACATAATGTGTTCCTTAATCTTGTTGTTCTCCTTTGACCTCCAGGATTCCAAGTGAGGGCTTGCCTTGTGACGCAGTTGGCTGCTTTCGTCAATGTGTCTTATCCACTACCAGCGCTTCTCCTTGATTTCTTCCCCCGCTGGCATCTGGTTTGCTCTCTCTCACAGTAGGCTGTTGTTGATGGTGTCTGGCCAACGGATCCGAAGTATCTTGCGTAGACAACTGTTAGTAAACACTTGTATCTTCTGGATGATGGTTTTCGTATTTATCCAAGTTTCCGCCCCATACAGTTGAACTGTCTTGACATTTGTATTGAAAATTCTGATCTTGGTTGACAGACAGTTGTTTTGAGTTCCAGATGTTCTTCAATTGTGAATATGCTGCTCTTTCTTTGCTGATCCGCACCTTCACATCTGGATCAGGTCCGTTGTGATCATCAATGTTGCTGCCAAAATATGTAAAGGATTTTAGATCCTCTAAAGCTTCTCCGTCAAGTGTGATTCGATTGGTGCATGCTGTGTTGTATCGGAGAATCTGGCTTTTCCCTTTGTTTATATTAAGATCTACTGTTGCTGAGGCTGCTGCTACACTAGTCGTCTTCTCCTGCATTTGTTTTTGCGTGTGCGATAGAAGAGCCAGATCATCTGTGAAGTCTAAATCGTCTAGCTGTCCATTGTATCTCATGCTTCCCTCCATGTGTTGACGTCTTCATGATCCAGTCGATCACCAGGAGAAAGAGAAAGGGTGAAAGCAAGCAACCTCGCCTGACACCGGTCTTTACCGCGAACGAGTCTATGAACTTTTCTCCATGCACGATTTGGTAGTTTAATCCATCATAGGAATTCTGTATTATATTGACTAAGCAGAAAAAGTTCCTATATATAATGAACTGTAATCCATTTAAATCTTCAAATTCATTAAACTTTTGATATAGTACAATCTCCACCTACTGTCAACGATTAGATATCGTTATACTTCAGATGTCTTTAACTCCACATGTCATAGCTTTCCACCAAAACTTTAAGAACTGTACCCCAAAGTTAGTCAATAATAAGCACATGGTTATTCTGATTTTTATTGTTATTATCATTCTCATTGTTGAGCAGTGATTTTTGTGGAAACATTCTTATGATTTGTGTTTAATTTTCATGATGAACTAATGTTAGCTAGAAGACCACTGGTAACTAGGATGCCTTGGATATTTATTATGATCTAATCCTAAACTGTTTATCTTTGTAAACACCACGACCCCAGATGAGATGGGATTCACACTTTAAATAGATACGCTAGCTAACATTTTTTGTTTGTTGAAATTTTTCTTTAGTTTTTAACCCATGAATCTAGGTCCTTTTATATAATATATATCATCCACCTTCTTTTCATTGTAGACACGTATGAATTGTCTTCTCTGCATTGGAAAATTACTAGATCATTTAGACAAATGGATTGTGATGGACGATATTCTTCCATTTCTACAACAAATCAAATCACGCGAACCGACTATTTTAATAGCTATACTGGGTAAGTTCAGTTCTTTTTTAAAACTAATAATTGTTCTTTTAAACTATATATTCATCGGATTGTCTATCTATAGCATTTTTCAGTGTATCAAACTCTCTTTTGCTGTCGAGTTTCATACTGATTAATACTCATCTGTATGAACTGGTGACTTCCATGGGATTCAGACGTTACTCCATCTAGTCCCCTATGGTCTTTGTGTATTGTGACTGACTTCATATAGAACTGATTTATTTACATTAATTGATCTCTAATTAGTGACAATTACCATGTCTCCTGGTCTTAAGTGTTAAAGGAATTCTATCTACTGAATTGAAATGTGGCCATCTCGGTAAATGACTTGAAATCGTGCGTCGGGTAGTCGTTACATACTCTGAATGCAATACTCTTAAAATATCTTTGTATGCCTACTAAAAATGAGTATACTGTGCAGCAGTTTTCTTTATATTACCTTATGACCATAAAATATCTTTGAAGGTTTACGGAAATCACAGGTCATTAGTATATAACTATTGATGCCTTTAAAATATCTCTAACGAATGGTAGAATCGAGTAAGTAAAGCTAAGGTTAAGTAAATGGGACTAGTTAAATGTAGTAAACCGAATGAAGAAGCCTTTATCCCTTATCTACTAAGGTGATTTGAAGTTGTGTTATAGGTGAACCCACGTGTACTCCTAAATAGTACAGAAGTGGCTTGGAAGGCGGTCTGTTTCAACCGAACCCAAGACAATGGATTTGTTCATGAAATCATGAATTGATGTTCTCAACCATGTTGAAAAGTGAGTTTCTTCGTTCGGGCCATCATGGTAATTTTACTCAATAATTGGAGACTTCAGATTACGTCTTTTTCACTCATTCACTCTGTAGCATATTTGCATTGACACACCATCATTCTCCAAGTTTCAGCTCCATAGAACTGTCTTGATGTTTGTATTGAAGATTCTAGCTTTGATCTTAGCTGACAGTTGTTTTGAGTTCCATACGTTTTTCAATTGTAAGAGCTCTGTCCTTCCTTTGGCAATCCGTGACTTTACGTCTGCATCAGATCCTCCTTCTTGCCCATCGATTATGCTGACCAGGTAAGTGAGTTTCTACCTCTTCTAGCCTTTCTCCATCAAGTGTGATTGTGTTGGTGTTCTCTTTGCTGTATTTCGGGACCTTGCTTTTTTCCTTGTGTATGTTGACGTCTACTGATGCAGAGGCTGCTGCTACACTAGTTATCTTCATCTGCATTTGTTCGTGTGTATGGGATAGAAGGACCAGTTCATCCACGAAGTCCAAATCTTCTAGTTGATTCTAAGCTGTCCATTGTATTCCGTGTTTTCTCTCAGATGTCGATGTTTTCATAATCCAGTCGGCCACTAGAAGAGAAGTAAAGAGGGAGAGTAGTCAGCCTTGTCTGGCTCCTCACTTGGAATGCACCTGTCAGCTGCCCTCCATGTACCAGTTTGCAGTGTAGACCGACTCATGAATTCCGTAATATGTACGATTTCCTCAGGTACTCTTTAGTGTCGAAGAAGATTCCATAATATTCTCCTATCCACACTGTCAAATGCTTTCTCATAATCAAGAAAGTTAATGTATAATGACGAGTCTCCTTCAATAGATTGTTCAACGATGAACCATAGTGTCTCGACTTGGTCTGTGCACGATCAATCCTTACGGGATCCAGCCTGTTGATCTTGAAGTTGGGTGTCCACTGAATCTTTCACCCCACACAGGAACATTGTTGAAAATGTTTTCTGGTACCGATAGTAGTGTGATGCCTCTGTAATTCTCACACTTACTCATATATCTCTTCCTTGGTATCTTGATGAGGTATCCTTCTTTCCCGTCTGTCGGTGGCACTTGTTCTTCCTCTCAAATCTTCCTAAATAGGGTGTGGAGCATGTTTGCAGTTACTTCTATGTCTGAATTCAGTACCTCAGATGGTATATTGTCAGGTCCTGCTGCTTTCTCACTCCTGATTTGTCTGATGACCATCTTGATTTCTTCGATCGTTGGTGAAGTGACATGTTTGGGAGGGTCTGTGTGTGCTGCTTCGATGTCCGATGGATTCAATGAAGCTAGTCTATTCAGGTCTTCCACGTATTTCTGCTTGTCGGCTCTAATGCTCCTGTTCACTTGCTTGTTTGCACCAGTGCATTCAGCTTTATGTGTTCTTTTTCGGTTGTTGTTAATTACTGTCTTTTTGTACTCACTTTGTTGAATCCTGCACTGGGTTTTGATGGAGATCCGTTCCTTATGATGATGCTTCTTGCAGCCCAGAACTTCCTGACACGTTACAATTTGCACACACGTATCCTCAGACCAGAAATAACTCTAATTAAGAATTCATACTTTATACACAGCTAAATCATAAGTGACAGAAAATAGAGCAAAAGGTGAATCGTTGATTAGCATTAATTAATGAACAGTAAAACATGTAGCAATAGTTAGTGGGTTTGATGGGAGCTTAAAATACAGATTGTATATAGATATATTATAATTTAGTTACTTAAAAATTACAGAGTAAAAATGTAAATAATTACTCTACTTGAAACTGTTGCAAAAGCTACAGTTGCTCCAATATTCGCTCCATTCAAACACCAACCCCGATAAACGTTAGGTCTCTACCTGCAATTATCACTTTATCTTGGTTTTACGCTAAATAGTATTAGTGTACATAAATACTGAAGTTTTGTTTACTAAGTACATATTTCTTTATTTTTTCTCTTCCCTCCCCCCTTACTATACAGGTATATATCGTTTAGCATTTAGTCATGAAAAATTGGGCATCAGTCGAGAAAAACTAGCTAATAAAGTATTGCCTTATCTTATCCCATTATCCATTGAAAGCAGTTTAAATTTAAAACAGTACAGCGCTTATGCATCATTAATACGAGATATGTGTTCATATTTGGAACGCGAACAATATGCTAAATTAGAGCAATTGCATGGTGCTGCAACTGATGAGAACAGGTAAAGAAAAAGAGGAATATATTTGGATTTGATCTGAATTTATGAATTGAAAGTAATTGTGACCATTAAACATTGATATGTCATTTACGTAATTAGTTAAAAAGTCAAGACGTACGAACTGCCTCTAGGTTGAGCTCGATAGAGCCTCTGACAATCATTCGAATTTTAGCACCAATTACACAAAAACGTCAAATCCTTGTAACCAGTCACTTCAAAGTTATCCTGTTTCTTTCAACCTTATGAGTTTATATGCTTGTACAGTATTTTCGGTTTCATCATTAAACAGAGCTCTTGAAGATATCAAAATTTTTACCTTACTGAGTAATTTCAATAAGACAGTTTTCAGTGCATTATAGGCTGTAGTGATTATTCAATATAAATACTGGTAAATTTATATATCTAAGTGCTTAGGATCCTAGTTTTCTTACACGTTCCTTCATCAATCACCAGAGATGCAGCAATCAAACTACTGATGTATAATTCTCTAGTTCAAGTATGTTATTTTCGTCTACCTTTAGTGAACAAAAACTCAGGTGGAGAAAACCAATTTATTGTTCAATTCTATTATATCTTATGGCCGAGTGGATGTCTAGTTAATGTATGACTTGATAAGACCGCCAGTCAGAGAGCAGCGAATTATCGATTGGAACAGTGACACACGAGAACCGTACGAGCAGTCTAGTGCGCTTATCAATCCTGCTTCTGCCTAGCCCAGCCAGTTAAGTCCAGAACACCAATAACAGCCTCTACAATATGAATCATTATTCTCAAACATACTGGGTTTATATACCAACCAAACAGACCACATCGTACCATAAAATAGAAAATAACATTTGTACAATATTTAGCCAAATGTGGCTGTGAATAGGGGGGAAAGTAATCAATAAACTGATGGTAACTCAAGAATCGTATAATAATAGTTCAAAGGTCAAAATAAAACTAATGATAAGAGGAACACGAATATGATTAGGTTAGTTACTTAACAATTATACAATAGGAAATATACATATTACATTGGTCCTCAAAAGTCACCATTCACAGTTCTCTTCGGGATACAACAAATTCAAAATATGAAAACCATACACTAAATACATTATTTGCACAATTTTTTTGTGTTGTCCTTTACATGCTTTATCATTCTTTCAATTCTGTTTTTATTACAGTTACTCTCTGTTTACATTCTTGTTCTCTTAAATCCGATCTTATCAATCTTCTACTGCCAGGCATTCCACTTCTGATTGGTGTTACATACTACTTATATCTATCAACATAAGTAGCATACACCATAGCAGACTAACTATAGTTAGAATTACTAATTCCTTAAAGCCTAACGTCATGATAGAAAGAGGCTTAATTAAGTATGAATAATTTACACATTGTTGATTAATGAAGTAGGACATTTTCTATTTTTTACTTTGTTAATCACACTGTTACAATGTTGGAGTAATTCTTTTTCTTGTTAGTTCACATCAATTAGCTAAATCATTCGACCAATTTTAAACTCTAATTTACATCAACAGGTTGCAATTTTGCTAGATACTAATAATTTTTCAGTCATCATCTATGTGCATTGCCTCCTGATGTTTTTGCTGTTCAAAGAAGAAATCTAAAATATTGAAGGAAAAAGCAATTGCATATTTTATTCAGCGCATTTCAAATCATGTATTTATATCACATTAGCAGTGACTGTATAACTTTTCAGTTGTTTTGTTACAAGTATAAGTTTACGAGTAACAACTTAGACTGAAGTCTATTTGTCTCAGGCTCCATGTTGTTTCTAACTTGCTCTTACAATGAATATGTTCTTCTCTTCCATATTGATCATATTTATACTTCTTTCTCTTGTACTTCATAGCATGATAAGAATTGGTAATATCGACGAAAGTGTTTGGGCGACATCCAATTCCTGTTCAGATTTGGTAAGTTTTTTTTCTCTAGAATTTAAGCTATAGTTAAATGCTGTCTGAATTTTAGTTTTCGTCACGGACTACTAATCTCGTGTTCCCTAATAGATTCAGACTCTACGTCAATATGTACCGATGACCTGACCCAAGTTCAAACCTGTTACTACTGGTATATATAATTTTTGAAGGATTCTTTTATATGATCTCGATCTGTATGGGTAATACTATACATTGTGGTGTTTTCACCTTCCATATGTAAAAATACGATGCCATTATTCCATTCACAATTCGAATAAGCACATTTTACATTACTATTTGTCAGTAACAATGTATGTGATTCATGTACGCTCACATTGTCTTCAAAGCATGTGAACGGAACATTTGTATTTGCTTCATACTCATTAGGATCAATTAGGTGGCTGCATTTTACGTACAGGTATATTGCGATTGGACTGACTTTGAATTATTGAAACAAGATTTGCCTTTTTGTATGTGACATTCATTTTGTCCGAATAAGTAAAATAGATTCGCTGGGTATTTGTAGATAACTATGACGAATACTGAAATCTGATGACTGCTCGTCAAACAATTTTTTCAAAAACACAGTGCTTTGTGCAATTGATCATATGTAATATTTTTGGCGAGATAAAATTTGCACAGTTTTTATCTTCATTTGACCTCGGTTTCCTATGGTAAGCATGAACTTTTAAGCTAGTATCTGATTCAGCAGCTTTCATCTTTCATAAATTTTCGTTTCTACCATCGTAGGCATCGAGCCTTACCCCGAATTTTGGACTGTTAGACTTGGGGTTTAAATTTAAATTTTCCCACTGTGTGAACATCACTCTGGGCATTCTGTTTTCGGGATTGCTTCACAAATACATGTTATATCAATTAATTTATCATAGCATTGAGTGAAGATTCCACGTGACATATATAAGGTGTGTTGAGCATCGAACATCTACAATAACATCTGAAATGTAGTCAGAATGTGACTCATTTAAAACATATTTCTTACTTCTTACTGTCGCTTTGTTTTGTTACTGTTTCCATGAAAAACAACTTTGTTCTTAGACCAATGTAAGTAAGTTATGGTTTATTGTTTGTATATATCTATTTTGACCAGATGACTCGAATAATTTGCGCTTATTTGGATGATGCTGATCAATACGTAAAACGTAGTTCTGTACCAACAAGTTTAACTGTAAATTCAAATAACAGTAACAATACATCGCCTACATCATCTGCAGGAACAACATCTTCAATTCAAGGAGTCAGTGGTTCAATAAACAATGAAAGTACTAATCTAAGCTTAGAACAAAAACGTCAATTAGCTGCTAAAAAAGATCAAATTGAACGTTTATCATCTAATTTAACATCAGTTCCATCATTACTACAACCAGCTACTGGTGTTGGACCAATGAAGTTGACGACGACGACAATAAATAAACCAAAACCTGTTGATATAACAAATACTTTAATATCATATAATGTGAATGCAATCAATAGCACATCCGATATGATGAATAAATCTACTACACAATCAAATCGTATAGGTACAGGTATACCTTTGGCTTTAATCACACCACCAACTACTCAACACCAATCATATGAAAAGAACGGTGTTTTCGATAATAATAATAATAATAATAATAACTCTCTGTATTATCATTCGAATAATAATGTTGAACAGTTACAATCAACTATTTTACCTAAATCAATTATTCCACACAATAGTAGTAATAATTTTAACTCATTGAATTCTATACCATTTTCTCCAACAAATTCTAATATGATGAGACCTGTTCAACAACAACAACCTATTCCAAATGCAATGACATATCAATTATTTCCGACAACATCATCCATTACAATGCCAACACCAATGTTTAATCAAAATGTATCCAATTCTAATAATCTAATAAAACCATTATCTAAATGTGAGATAGATGATTTATTAAGCTGACAATGAATTCATTCTTTTTTTACAAACGAATAGAACAAAAACACAAGGAATAATTATTGGTCATTCCTCTCATATATGTACATATTATCATGTAACTTGAAACATATTCATAGGTGTAGGTATATAAGCACACATATCTACGTTACGTCAATACAGCTTTTTCTACTCAGCATGTTACGTATAGGTAGATGATATGAGAAGCTTTTTTATTACCATCGTCTTTTCAATTCTATTGTGATATTCCTATGACTGCCCATGTCCTATCTGTATTTTTACTAATTTGCTTACACCCATTATTTTTTTCTGTATTTGGTTTGTGTATATGTCTGGCGTATTAATGTCTTTCAAATGTTTTTTTTTGTTTTACCCCTCTTCTGTGAAAAATATAATACTTGATTTCTTCAAATAATTATTTGCACAGTGTCCTAGTTTACTTATTTTTAAATTATATGTTACCTTGTTTTTCGATTCAAATTTGTTTTGGTCAAATTTCTGTTATCTTGTAGAGGTTAATTCCTCTATATCTGACCGCCGCAATAAACAGTATCCCGTTAACTGAGTAATTACGCAGGCCAAATCTCCTAGTTGTATTATGAATTTACTGGAGATTATTCAAAAACCTGAACACCACTTGTAGAGATAGTATATTGTTAATAATTAGTAAAAATCCACTAGCATACAGGGAAGCGGGTGTGTTTAAAAACCCATATCTATTTATGAGTGCTAACAGATTGTGGATAAATTATTCATTGTCTGTGTTTATAACCAGTGAGAGAATAGATGGAAATTGATGTGCAGACATGCGCTCAATCCGAGTCACATATCATTTTACATAGTGGGTTAAACATCTGAATTACAGCCAGTAGACAAATATTTACTTCAATGGGCTTACTATGATCACTTACACAAATTATACGATAGAATTTTGTAAAACACAACCCTAATACAATAGTGCTTTCTTTCCTCGTTTATAAATTTAAACATGGTGATGAACAAATAAGTAGTTTGTCCGTAAAGTGTGAAATCAAATTTGGCTAAAAGAAAAACTTGACAAAACTGAGGGATTAAGCATCTGTCTTGTGTTTATTAACAGACTCATAACCAGTGTATACACATATACATATGCCCATCAGACCTTACCCACGACACCACAACTAGACAGTCCAGATTTTTTCTTGCTAAGTAACTAAATTAAAGTTCGAAGAACAACCACATTGCACTGAGAATTAGAATTCAGAGAATCTAATTAAAAGTACACAGACAATATGTAATACTCCTAAAAATAAACGTTCTATTAAGCTTGTACTGCCGGAGCTCTATTTCGAATCATTGATAACATTTATATTCAAAAAAAATTACAACTTAACAGATGCTGTTTATCTCGATAACTGCGCTACAGTCTTATCTCACTGTACGCTTAACATGTTTCTTATTGACTAGACCCCACAAATAATCTTTTCCTGTGAAAATTCCAACGTTCGCATTTACATCGCAAAACGCCTAGACGGAGGATCATAGAGCTATCTTACCAGCGTCACCAATTCCTACTAATGGACAAGTGACATGTAACGTAGATTAGCCGTCCACAGGCTGAGGATGCCATGCAGAACAGTCTGATTCATAACTTTACTATCTTGCAAACTGGTTTACCATACGTACAGCATCACACCAAAATCGGCTATCTGCTAGTCCACATTCATTAGCTTTGCACCCGAATGCCATGGCACGTCCAAGGGTGGAGAGTCGACTCTCCTCGAAATGCTCTCACATGACCACGCGTATACAACCGCTTCCAGGGAAGTCCTACTGTCTTTTCACAGCGGGGGTGTTGTTCACGAAACTGATAACACGAAGTTACAATGTGCGATTAGGGCACCCAGGCCCTCAAGCATATCGAGTGAAGTGTGGCGCATACGCATTCGGTGAGATTCTACAAACATCTCTGTGCCTAAATAATTAAGGCGCATGTGGCAGCCTTGTATATTCTACTTTTAATAGCTACTGTGCACGTTTGACTGAAGGGCAGGGTGGACAGCTGCGTAGTAAATACGGCAACCGTTTGGGGACGGACACGACACTTCGTTACATGTTAGCATGAACCAACCAAACTTCCCGATTTGGTCAGAAGCGAGCCCGCTGGCGGGGATGAGACTTGCAAGGTAGTATGTTAGGTCTACACACCTGGGCTAAAACATGAAACGTAACATTTTCGGTTAAATACTATCACAAAACCCTAAAAATAAAACTAACCGAGGTCGTTTAAGCGGATCACTTACACTAGTACAACACAACAGGTAAACAAAGACAGAATAGTAATCTTTAGTCAAATTATATGCCAAAACAGTTTAATATACGAAAGACCACACAGCACTAACGGAATCAACGCCACCTAATTCGTTGACTAACGAATTCCTGTCTAATCACAGAAGCATAACGATCTTAATAAAATCAATATATATTTGAGGGAAGATTAGGGACTTTGAACAATTGGAATATCTACGAAAATTAACCAACTACAATGTAATCACATCGTCAAGTAGTGTCGAAATGCAAAATACGTGTGTAGTTCGCTACTACATCATACCACCCATACCACCCATACCTCCCATCCCACCCATTCCTGCAGCGTTTGCTCCTGTCTCTTCTTTCGGTAAATCAGTTACCACGGTTTCTGCAGTCGTCAATAGAGAAGCAACGCCAGCGGCATCAACCAAAGCAGTTCGAACGACCTAAAATGGAAGAGGCCGCATTTAATTAAACCGGTTATACCCAGATTTATCCAAATTACTAAAGATGCACTTACTTTGGTGGGATCAATGATTCCAGCTTCGATCATGTCGACATAAGCATCATTCTGGGCGTCATAACCCATATTTGGACCCATGCCCATGACTTTTTCTACAACAACAGACGCGTTCACCCCCGCATTATGTGCAATGGTATAACAAGGAGTTGAAAGTGCACGCAGAACTATTTGAACACCTAGAAACATAGAAGTGAGTCATAGGATTAACTAAGAAAGGCATTGTAGCAAAAAATATAATAGACATATAACAGACGAAATTATTACGAGAGCAAGCATTTCAGAATTTCGAAGATAAAAGTATATCCAGTGCATATGGACCGATCAATTGATGGTATTACGAAGATGAACTGCTCTAAACCAAGATACAGAGCACTAAACGAAGATATTTCAAAGCAACACTTGCAAACACGAGCCTACAACTCGTTGTTTCATTACACCCAAACAACCATTCTTATGAATGGCTGCACAAGGGTTAAAATGATATTCTGTTTACGGTTTGTTTGACACACAACTACACAGTCATGTAACACTCAAACCGACTAACGACATTCATGTGGGTGTGAGCTTAACACTATTAGGCAACTCGGACACCCTTAAATGTAGGCTTCACTTTGACCACAAGGTGAACCTCGTGGCTTCGATATGAGCCAAAATTATCGTTTGCATATTCGAACAGAACGGCTCAGGAGTATCGCAACACCAACGCACCCAATGAGTTGATTACAGGCAAACACTATTGCTTCGTACCATGTACTTTACTGTACTACCAGGAAAAAGGTGGACAACCAAACTTCTGAGATACAAACTAGTCAAGTGCATTTATTGCACAACCACGAAAACAAGACGTTGGTTGAGCGATATTGATGTTTGGTCTGACGACATGTAGCTTGTTGGCTACAAACCTGCAGACCGATTATCACGTTGTTCCATTACACCCAAACAACCATTCTTATGAATGGCTGCACAAGGGTTAAAATGATATTCTGTTTACGGTTTGTTTGACACACAACTACACAGTCATGTAACACTCAAACCGAGTAACGACATTCATGTGGGTGTGAGCCTAACACTATTAGGCAACTCGGACACCCTTAAATGTAGGCTTCACTTTGACCACAAGGTGAACCTCGTGGCTTCGATATGAGCCAAAATTATCGTTTGCATATTCGAACAGAACGGCTCAGGAGTATCGCAACACCAACGCACCCAATGAGTTGATTACAGGCAAACACTATTGCTTCGTACCATGTACTTTACTGTACTACCAGGAAAAAGGTGGACAACCAAACTTCTGAGATACAAACTAGTCAAGTGCATTTATTGCACAACCACGAAAACAAGACGTTGGTTGAGCGATATTGATGTTTGGTCTGACGACATGTAGCTTGTTGGCTACAAACCTGCAGACCGATTATCACGTTGTTTCATTACACCCAAACAACCATTCTTATGAATGGCTGCACAAGGGTTAAAATGATATTCTGTTTACGGTTTGTTTGACACATAACTACACAGTCATGTAACACTCAAACCGACTAACGACATTCATGTGGGTGTGAGCCTAACACTATTAAGCAACTTAGACACCATTAAATGTAGGCTTCATTTTGACCACAAGGTGAACCTTGGAACTTTTATGTGATGTCATCGGTAACGAGTAGATTTAAGTACATTCTGTCACTGCGTAATGGTTGATTTTTTAGCTGTTATCAAGTGACTTGAAAAACCATGTACTAACCTGTGCGTTGATCTTCGTTTTTGCATTCCAGCGATTTTAAGATTGGGATACAACGAAGCAGAGCAGTGCCTCCACCAGGAACTATTCCTTCTTCAATCGCTGCTCGTGTTGCGTTAAGTGCATCAGTATACCGATCCTTCTTTTCACTAACTTCTACTTCACTACTTCCGCCAACCTTGATGACCGCAACACCATTAGACAGCTTAGCCAGACGCTCATGCATTTTTTCTTTCTCATATTCACTGTTAGAAGCTTCCATCTCTTCTTTGATTTGTGCAATGCGTTTGTCGACATCTGTTTTACTTCCACGACCACGCATCAACAGGCAATCATCTTTAGTTACCACAACCTCAGCCACACGTCCCAAATCTTGTAGTTGTACATCTTCCAACTTGTACATATCTGCCTCATCGCCGAATACCTAGATAAGGTATAAATAGGTTTAATTATTTGTGCCGACCAAAGATCTAGAAAATACAGCATGACAATGACTTACAATTCCACCAGTCGCCACTGCCATATCTTTAAGAGTATTTTTGCGGTTGTCTCCGAAACCCGGTGCCTTCACTGCACAAACTTGTAAACCGAGTTTCAGACGGTTAAGTACAAGAGCTGTGAGGGCCTCACCCTCTACGTCTTCAGCGATGATAAGTAGTGGTCGCTTTTGTTGATGACACAGTTCGAGAGCTGGCAACAATGTTTGGATGCTATTGATCTTTTTCTCTGAAAACAATACAAAAGCATCTTGAAATTCGCACCGCGCCCCCTTTTCAGTATTGAGGAAGTAAGGGGAGATGTAGCCACGATCAAATTTCATGCCCTCGATGAACTCCAACTCATCATGCAGAGTTTTCCCGTCCTAAGTTATTCAAGTAGTTGAAAATTATGCTTACCTTGACAGTTATTGTACCATCATTCCCAACCTTCTTCATAGCAGTAGCAATTAGATCGCCAATCGCTTTGTCACCGTTGGCTGATATTGTTGCGACTTGTGCTATTTCCTCTGGGGTTGATATTGGCTTCGACAAAGACTTGAGCTCTTTGACGACAGCATCAACTGCAGACATAACGCCTCTTCGGAACTCAATGGGATTTGCACCCTTGCTAATCTTTTCAAACCCTTCTTTAGCAATCGCTCGAGCTAAAACTGTAGCTGTTGTTGTACCATCTCCAGCCTCTTCATTTGTGTTGTTAGCAACATCCTGTACCAATTTGGCTCCTATATTCTGAAACTTATCCTTCAGTTCGATGCCTTTGGCAACTGTCACCCCATCTTTGGTAATTTTGGGAGATTTCCACGAGCTTTCTATTATAACGTTACGACCTTTAGGGCCCATGGTAACTGCGACAGCATCTGCGAGTATGTCGACGCCAACCAACATAGCTGATCTTGCGTCAGCTCCAAATTTAACCTCCTTGGCATAAGACCTTTGAATAACTCTGTGTCTAACAGGAGCCAAGGTACCACGTAATGTAGCGAACGCACGAAGCATGGTCACGGGTACAAAGCACGAAATCACGCCGCAAGTGACTAGAACGTCCGAGAAGCAACAAGCTATTGAAGAAGCATTCAAACAAATACGTTCTATTGAACAATTTCAGCTTGTTCCAATACCTGATATTTTTGTGACAAGCTTCCTTAAACCGATTTTTTCACTTTACACCATTTGTTTCAGTATGTCCTCAAACCTTTGGTAACGTCCAACACGCGTTGTTCAAGCTCCTTAACTACTTTAGTTTTAATTACTTTGGTAGTTATTTTGTGCATTTGTGTGTTTTGTATCTTGAGTAAGCGTTTTTCCCAAAGCGGTAGAGTTCCTGAGATCATTGGCTATCATATTGCCAATCTAGAAAATCCTCGAAATGTGGATAATAATTCAGAAAATTCGAATGAATGGAAACTAAGAGAAGCAAATTAATCGATTGATTTATCGCGTAGACAGGGTGGATGGATCAAAGTGCAGTTGAAAAAGAGGGCCAAGATTATAGGAAGAGGGATGTGAAAGGCTGGTGTGTGATGACCTAAGCGGTGGATAAGTTGCGAGACATCCATCAGCGACAGATAGTTCAAGAGGGAGATGTTAATCTAGAGGTGATATGTGTTTGTCAATTCTCCTCTTGAAGCCAGCCATTGGGGGACTTTTGTTAGTTTGACTGAGAGGGTATTTCAGATGGGGTAAACCTTTATGGTTAAAATGAGATTATACCTAGCTTTTCGCTGTTGATGTGCAGTTTCACAGCATTTGCCTCCTTGAGCGCGGGGGTAAGATTACTGTAGCTGTAAATAATTCCCCTAAATCAATAGCTCATTAAGTGTTCGACATTGGATGCTGACCACGTTGTTTAAGTGGACTTGTTTAGCTGAAGGCTTTCGGTCATGCATCCGTACCAGATCACGTTTCAACACGGCGTGGGACACAGCTCCTACGTTCATTAGCCAGCTTATAGTAAAGGTTCCTCGATATATTGGTAACGCATCAAATATATCTTTCCTACCTCTCCTCATCTGACTTCTGGTTTCTATTCGACTGGGAAAGAACGATTATAGAAGATACTACTAGTTGCTAGTTGCCAAACTAGAATATCCGTGGTATCCTCATTACGATAGAATGTCCGTATTGAGTTGACTTGGAGTCCTGTGCTATTATCAAATCACCTCTTATCCTCCTACAGCTCGGCAGGAATAATCCCAAGTGTTTGAGTCTGTCTTCGAAAGATTTATTCTTTAGTCTTATCATCCACTTTATTGCTTGTCTCTGTACTTGTTCCGAGGCATTGATATCTCTCTAGAAGAGATATAAACATCTAGCAGAGGCCATGTGTACATTCCAAAGAATGTAGGAAAACATTATGAGGTAACGGCACCAATTTTTCCTTGTATACAGGAAATATTAGCATTAGCATTGACTACATCCCCAATATGGTTTGAGTTGGTGTCAAAGCTTTCTATCCGAAGAGTCCTAGATCGTGTTTTGAGGGGGAAATTTGGAGAGGATTATCACAGAGAACGTAAATTATTTCCTTTCTATGGAGCTAAATATAATATAGATTAACAAGTGCAAAACCATTATTCACCACTCATTTCCTTATCGTTGTGAGATCCTTTCGGAGACCAAAATATGCTTATTGTTTCTTACTAACCTTTGCATCATGACATAGTGCATGTAAGGGTTTATAGGGTAGTTTTATCTGACAGGTCGTCAATAAAAGATGGGCTTAAAACGGTTCCCCGTAAGACCACTGATATCGGGAGGCTCCCATACACTCCATTCACCCTAGCTCTAAGGACTGTGGTTGGAAGAAGGAGGACTGGGGATGATCTAATTATGATTATGGATTACATTTACACCTTTGTATTTACAGAATCCAAACTGTACCATGTAAATGTGACTTAAATTACATGGGTGAAAGTTTAGGCGTTAGGTATTTGCCGTGGTCAAGTATGTGCTTGCTACCATTAGTAACTGCCCAAACCTTTGGTCTATTTCTATCGTTCATTTATAGATATTTACTGAATTCTTTGTTATTTCTGCTCCTTAAGTGTGTCAAACATGTTCATCTGGGTGATGAACCAAATCATTTCTTCCCTGTCGAGGGAAGGACTCAGTGTGTAAGGTGTGTTACGCGATTCTGTAGGGGTGTCGAACCGTAACCACACGACATTTGAAGCCGAGCATATAATTACTGGGAACATTTATATTCAAAAATTGAAATAAAGAGAACGTAACAATGGAGAAGACGGAAAGACGTTATAGAGCTCAATCGAGTGGCATGACTCAATCTTGCAAGCGTGGTCATTTTTGTGCAACTTATATATTTTATTCATTTTAAATATACTGTTCTATCTACAGTCTCCATGTGTCCTCCATCATATATTGGTGATGTTACGATAGGACGAGTCAGTGTAGACAATGATGTTACTTCAACATGAGATCTTATATATTAGGAAATCACATCGAGACAAGGCTACAATTTTAGTGTTAGGTCTATTATTAGCGTAGTACTAATAACAAGGTAGACCATAATTCTATAATTCTACGATATATATGTAGCCTCTGAATATATGGCGTGTGTAAATTATATTCACACTTCAACTTTCACTCGCTCTGTATATCATGGTGTTCGGATAAGTCATAGATGTTTCGAGTGGATATATATCATCTCTGGTTAATGTAAACAAGATGACGATGTCATTTTCATGAATTCCAGTGCAGACGTCTATGGGTAAGTGCCGATAATGGATAAGCTGAAAGTTCAGTGAAAAATCCGATATGAGAAAGGGAGGTTCAAACAATGTAAATGAGTGACCAATTTTCCGTTGAAATGACCTTTGAGTTGTTCCAGACTAAGACTCGAGTATGACTGTCACAACAAAATGATATCAAATTATTAACGGCAAAAACCCTATCAAGTAGCTAATTTTTACAGCAGATAGTCAAATAGCAACAGGAATAAAGTGCTGTACACCATAAACTTGAGTTCAGTCAATAAAATTAAGATAAAAGGAACTTTGAATTCTAGCTATAATATTTAAATTCCAACGACAATTGGTTTTTAATTTTTAACCTTCCGTTACTATCGGTTGACAGCTATCGGTTGATTCAGGAAGTCCCACCTTCATGAGAGTAAAAGAGCCATTTGTACGGTATCTCAGCACATCACGCTATTTTCTGTATCTACTGCAGTCTCCTCTTGTGTGGGTGCAATCAACATATATGTGGTGATTTCAAAGTCAAATACCAAACAATTTTCATTAACGGCTGTAATTAATAGTAAATAAACGTCTACCAATACATTTAGTCCGTGGGATTCGATTTCTAGACTTCAAACACTGATATACGAAACTTCTAAAGATAACTTTGCCATACAGACCTCAACACAGTTCGTCCAGGAAACTTGACGGCCACAAGCCTTACGGCACTAGTTTTCTTCACATTTTAGTCATTGAAGTGGTCGCTCAACCACAAATATTCTTCATTTAGTCTTACCCTTCAGCAACACATTACGTTTTATCCAAATGTTGGTGTTATTCTGCTTTACGGCACTAAATATCAGAAAATTCCTTCAGTCATCCAAACGTGGGATCGTTTTAATGAGTCTAAATGACCGGTGACCAATATTCCTATCTATCCTCTCGTTTGTTTCATGACGCAAGCCCTCACTGAGTCATTAATAAACTCCGGACTGTTGTTCGAAGAATACTTAAATTCAGGATGAAGTTGTTGGGACTCTTTTAAGCTGCCCAAAACAACAACTGAACCCGTTTAATTTTCCCCTATCCATTAAGTTTAACTAAAGGACTTTGACGAAGCATTTTATGATCCAGAAAGGTAACCTCTTGACGATTAATTTTAGATCAAGAACGACGAAAGAACGGTAGGAGTGGCTGTAAGATCCTTATTTGTCGCTCATGTGCGAAAACGGAGAAAATCCCTCCATGTCCGTTCTTTTCTACGACTAACCCTTTGCATTCCTAAAGAATGTACTGATTCTCTTGGGATCAAAACAAAATAGAGAATCACCTCAGAGAACTAGAATGTGAATGGTGTTTCAACTCAACTAGGGCAAGTCACCGAGGCGGTGTGTGGGAACGCATCATAAGATCTATTAGGAGAATTCTAAGAGAGCTTTTATTTCGAAACGTGCTGACCGATGAAGCTTTGCAAACGTTCTCAACTGAGGCAGAAAAGATATTAAATAACAGACAACTAGTTAAAATGACGGATTATCCTGGCACCCTATAGGCTCTTACCCTGAATAAATTGTCGTTAATTTATAAAGGATTATCATTTGACGATGTTTCTGTGGATAAGACTTTATTATACAATAAAAGATGGAAAGAAGCTCAGAGATTAACTACCGCATTTTGGTATAGGTGGATAAGAGAATATCTACTGACTCTCCAAACAAGAGATAAATGGCTGAACGTACGCAAGAATTCACAACCGGGCGACCTAGTTCTCGTTAGTAGCGTTGAAACAAGTAGAAGTCTATGGCCTAAAGCCATGGTCGAACAGGTAAACTATGACTCTGATGTACAAGTTCGTACAGAGAAGTTGAGAACGCCAAACGAAGAAAGCGTTCGGGATGTACGAAGCCTATGCTTACTGGAAGAAGCCGGTTATCTGATAGCGATGGCGACGACACAGGACGATGAACGTGGTGCGCGTTTCGGGGGAGTGTAAAGTGCGATCAATAAGGGAACACACCAATCATAAGTGAAACGCTCACCGCCACTCTAGCTTCTTTGACCTTGTATGACTGTGCCTTTGTTTTATCCATCAATCACAATTTTATGTTCATTATAAAACAATATTCGCCTTGTTGACTCATTTTTCCTATTCTCCAGTTACTGTTCGGTATGTCATTTATGTCTCTCCTTTTCCCTATGTAATAGACTGTACTGTTTATTTGCAAACTAACGTTGTTAATTCACGTTTTAGAAACAGATAAAGTTTATTAAGCCAAATAGCCCACTTGTTCTGACTTTGGCGAAACCAAGACTCTATACTCGACAGTCTAGGGAATAGTTTAAAGTTGTA